TTGAAGACTTGACAAAAGGCACATCACATCTGTAGTAGCCTTTCCTCTCCAGCTGAATCACATCACCACGCTTCAGGTTCCTCATATTCGAATCACCAAGTGCTGATGTTTCCTTCTTCGTGTTCTCATTCACAAAAAGATCTTTTTTCTCCAGATGATCATTTTCCTCCAGATGATCATTTTCCTCCAGATGATCATTTTCCTCCAGATGATCATTTTCCTCCAGCTTATCCTCTTCCTCCAGCTGTGTAAAAGAAAAAGAAAAACGATAATCAAAGATTCTGAGAGAGGAATTACAAAGTAGAAATAAGCATTCTTCTTACCTTCTTCTTGTTGATTAAGTAATCAAAGTCTGTTAACGTGAGCTTAACCAACTCATTAGTCTCCGGAAGCCACGTGAGCTTCAGCTTTGTACTCTTCACAGACCCTTTGAGATTCAGAACGCCTGATAACGCAATGACACGACCCTCCTCGTCGTCCTCGTCCTTTGTAGTAACTTCCTTCACAATGACGTTTCCCCAATCCATCAGAGTCACTTCCTCGTTAACAGAGATGGCACTCGCATCAGCTCCCTCGATCCATACCCTCTTGGTGAAAGTGGTCGCCTTCTCTCCAGCACCTTCATACTTCTTGTGCTTTGGTATCAACCGGACAAACGGCTCGTCAGGACCATCGGTTAATGTCAACAGTACACGCCTCTCTTCAACCACAGCCGTATGTCTAGGACACACAGGATCAATTATCTTCTTGTTGATACTCCACAGCTTGTCCCATTCCATCAAGTTTAGATTCTTGGAAGCACCCTGCAAATGTTAAATCACAACACATAATTGTTAAAAATAAACAAACAAGAAGTAAAAAAAAGGAGGCTTGCTTACTTACTTGCTCAAGAATGAACTGAATCAGTGCCTCGATTTTCAAACCTCTACGGACAATGCCTTGCACCGTAGGGAAGCGTGGATCATCCCACCCATCAACCTTCCCTTGCTGAACAAACCAGAGAAGCTTCCTCTTGCTGAGAAGAGTGTAGACTAGATTCAACCTACTAAACTCATAAACCTCAACTCTCCGCAACCCCATGTCCTCGAGAACTCTGTAGTACTGAGCATTCCTGTCGTGATACTCACTAGACCGAAGAGCATGCGTTATGCCTTGAATGGAGTCCACAAACGGGCAAGCGAAGTCATACGTTGGATAGATCTTGTACTTAGTTCCTATACGGTGATGCGACATGGGGTTGCAACGGTAATAAACAGGGTCACGCATAGCTTTGTTAGGATCTTGCATGTCTAGCTTCCCTCGGACACAGCACTGTAACCCTCTCTTGCTTCCAGCGATCATCTCTCGCCACAGATTCAGATTCTCCTCGACGGTATGGTTCCTGCATTTCGAATCAATCCCATCTCTCCTCTCCATTTTCATCTGCTCCTTCGGCGTGTCGTCCACGTAAGCCTTTCCCTCGCGCATCAGCTTCTCCGCCATGCTCATCAGGTCGGGGAAGTAATCGGAAGTGTAGGTCACACGCTCATACTTGATCCCCAAGGTACCGATGTCTTTGACTAGATTCTTAACAAACTCGTTGCTCTCTTTGGCGGGGTTGGTGTCGTCGAAACGGATGATCACTTCCCCTTGGTAACGCTCGGCGAAGTACTTGTTCAGCAAGGCGGCTTTCGCGTGTCCGATGTGGAGGTAACCGCTTGGCTCTGGAGCGAACCGGAGCTTCACTTTTCCAACTTCAGCACCGGGCAAGTCCACTTCAGGCTTCCCTGCTTTATCGACATCTGATGCTTGTTGGTCGTCTTTGGATCTTGGTGCAGGCTTCCCTGAGCCTGTAGTATACGCAGCCACCACCTTGTTGAGTGGCTCGGCGTACTCATGCGATATCGAGTTGAACCATCTAACCAAGTTCTGATACTTTTTCGATTTCCTCAAACTCTCCCACCTCGGACCGGATCCTGATGATGATGATAACAGTGACTATTATAACCGATATACAAATTATAAAAATATTTTGTGAGACTTACACACTAACATTGTTACTTGTACACCAAACAATTTAGTAGATCATCAACTTATACCGATTTTTAACTTAATGATTAAATCAGATTTTTAAGAAAATCGGAAAAATTGCTAGACAGGCGCAACATTGCAACAGCAAGATAGATGGATACATACCAGTAAGAGCTGACCAAACAGCAACATCGGCGATGGAAAGAGAATGACCAACAAGAAAGGTGCCACTTTGAAGGTAGTTATCGACACGTGTACAAGCATTCTTAAACTTTGAGCCAGAGGAGGAGAAGACAGGTGCGTAGTCTATCCACTCATCAATCTGCAAGCAAAGGTTAAGACTTTAAACACACAAAATCAAAGAAGAAACCAAAGTAAAAGGTTGAGACTAATTTAAAAACAAAATCAAGAAGTAAACAAAGTAAAAGGTTGAGACTTTAAAACAAAATCAAGAAGAAACAGAGTAAAGGTTGAGACTTTAAAAACAATAAGAAAAGAAGAAACAGAGTACTTTGTCCACTATTAACAAAATCTACAATAAGGAGAATCTTGTTTGAGACCTGGGAATATTCAAAAGCATCATCGTGGCCGTAGAAACCAGGAAGAGACTTAGCTGATCGACCGACGTGTCGGAGAAGAACTGATGTCCCAGTCAGCTTTCGCCTAGATTCAGACAAAAAGGGGTTTTAGTTTCAGAGGGAGAGGAAGGAATCAGACTGAAGAAAAAGTGAGAGAGAGTACCCGTCGGAGAAGACGAATGAAGGGACGGCGGAGGAGGAGGAGGAGTCGATGGTTACCGGAAAGGATGAGAGGGAGAGAGCAACGATGACCGAAAGCGGTGGAGAGTCGGCTGGGAAACTGAGTTTGATCTCTTCCATCTTCTTAGCAAAGCTTATTAAGCTAAAGGCAGGCGTGCTCTTAGGGTTTTTTTTTTTTTTTTTTGAACACAAGCTCTTAGGGTATTTATACGTAACTTTTACAACAAAAAAAATAAGGAAAGAGGTGTATTTGAGAAACTTGCCAATGAAGTTACTCTTAGAGCAACCATAAGTTTTCCAAAATATGTTTTTGTGATTATTTTATTAATAATTAAAAGTAACTGACTTTATAGTTAATTTAATTTTTTTTTATAAAAACAAATTGACAAATGTTAAGCTTCTCGACTTTTATTCATAGTTTCTCAAACAATAAACCATTCTCAGTTTTTTTCCTATTTTCAAATGAAAAAGATGTTTTTTTCAAATTTTCAATTCTTTGCGGGAAACTTTTACATTTGTCAAATTATCCATTCCAACGCGAATCAAATCGAACTTGAGCAGCAGACGGCTGTTAGCACTTCATTTACCACTAGACCAACCTGAAATTGGTCATTCTCAATTTTCTACACTCTCTTTCATATTTTTTTTGTTTTTTTTTATTATTATTACTTTTTTGGGTGAATACATTTTTATAGATCACAAGTTTTTTTTATTTCTTTTTTCTACATGACATGGACTTAATTTTCAATTTTTATCCACTACAGCCCATAAAATATCCACCTTTACATAATTAATTCCCAACTGGGATTGAATTGATAAGTAGATAAAGTCTTCAAATGACAAAAAAAAAATGTTTTGTGATTAGGATCTACTGTATCCTCCAAAAGTATGCTCAGTCATCTGTCCCTTCCATTTTTTTTCTTTTTCCTTTGTGTTTTGTGAGATGAGAGTAGGACAAGGGAGGCGATAAAATCGATTGACAAGTGAGTCTTTTGGGTCTTAGGGTTAGGTTTTTAGACTTGTAAAGTTTTAGTTTCCAATTTGTATACTCTTTTATTACGAGTCCATAAACATAAAGTATCAACTAGTCATGCGGGTTTGGGTAGTTCGGTTAGAGTAGTTCGGTTTTTGGGTAATTCGGTTGGACCAAAACTTTGCCGAATTGAATCGTTAAACCCTATAAACTTTGGTTCAGTTTGGTTTCGGATAGTTTGGTTTTAAAACTTTTACCAAAATTAACCTAAGTTTTTGGTTTGAGTATATTTTAGTTAAAATTTTTGACAAGTCAGTTTAGTTTGGGAAATTTTGGTTAGTTCGGTTAGTTCAATTTAAAATTTTTGGTTAATTCGGTTAGTTCGGTTCAAAGTTTGATTAATTTTTTTTTCTTTTTTGAAAAGCTAAACCGAAAACCTTTTTTTTTTATAAACCTACCAAATTGAATCGTAGTTAGGTTAAAAATCCCAACCCTAGTATTCAAACTTTACACTATTTATCCCAACTTGGATTAAATTATAAGTTTTCTTTACACAACAAAAAGAGAAATTAGCAATTCCTAATGTTCAATGTATATTGAATTCATTATAAGTTATTTTCAAATTTATGCACCAACGAAGGTTGAAGAGGGAAATAAAGAAGAAGAAATCTATTTATTTTATTTACAATATTTTCTCAGAATTCATCTTTTTTTTTTCATGTTTCTTTTTGAATTTATGTTCTTCAAATTGTACGTACGTTCAATGAAAATAAATAATTTATGGAAAATTATTTAATTAATTTATCTATTGACGTAATTTATCATCAAATCATATAACAATTGGTGAACACTCCCACTGTTTCAATAAGATATATATTTTAGAATATTCACACATAATAAGAAAACATCTTAAATTTGAATTATAAATTTATATTCTTTTATATTTCATTATTTTCCATAAGTGGTAACTAATCAAATTTCAATAAACATAATTAGTTTTTTGGAATTAATTATTTACCATTATTGTATGCACTGAATATGTAAAATATTGATCTTTTGAAACAATTTTTTAATATAATATATATCATTTTGAAACGGAATAAGTATTTAATATGTTTACATTATAAAATGATGTAAATTATTTGCATCACCTTCTATTATAACGAATACAAATATTAAAAAGAAATGACTTCAAACAATCTTTGTTTATTAGCTCAGCTCTGCTTGTTCTTGGTTTCCTTGCGTAGTCCCGAACCGCAATGAACGTGAGAACAAGAGTGACGGCGAGGATCAGAGCACCGATGACTAGAATCATGACGAAGATCGTCCGAGGCAACCGTCTTGATCTCCGGACCACTTTCCGACAATCCTGTAACTTAACAACGGGTGTGTCTGCGCAGAGATTGGTGTTGTTCAAGAAACTTGTCTCGTACGCAAGGTTATCAAGTTGGTCCGGTACTTGTCCGGTGAGCATGTTCGACGAAAAGTTAAGCGTTCTGAACTTCAGACTCCCAATCTCCGGTGGGATTTCTCCGGAGAGTTCGTTCTCCGACAGATCAAGATCTCGCAAGGCTGGCAACAATCCTAGAGCTCTAGGAATCTTCCCGGAAATTTTGTTTTTTGACAGATTCAACGTCACCAACGACTTCCATGAGATGATTTCCTCCGGTAGCGAGCCGTTGAAGTAGTTCTGGGAGAGATCGAGATGGCGAAGCTTGGTGCAGTTGTATAGAACGGTCGGAATATCTCCGGAGAATCGATTAGACGACAAGTCGAGAGTTTCCAGGTTTGGGAAATCGCATATATTTGTCGGAACCGTTGCAGTGATGATATGGTTCTTGAGATTTATCCCGGTGACGTTTCCGTTGACGCAGGTGACCTCCGACCAATCGCACGGGGAAGATGTGTTGTTCCATAGGCGGAGGGACGGTGGGTCTCCGAGACCGCGTTTCAGGTTAAGAAGTGTTGTCCGTTCGTCGAGCTGCGAAATTACAGAAAAGGGTAGTGAGGTGAGAAAGAGAAAGAGGAAGAGTAAGGGTAAGAGGGTCATATTGTAATTGTGGTTGGTTGGGTTTTGCCGGGGGAAAATCGACAAAGAGAGAGTTTGACTGGGAGATTGATTCATATAAGTTTTTGAAGTATGCTGCAGTTTTTAACGATTTTTTATAGATAAGAAGTGAGTGACTAGCTGAATAGTCAGAACAAATTATTTGAATTTTCGAGTCTGTTTTTTTTGGTCGTTCTAAGACGACTTTTCTTTCTTCTTTTCTTTTTGTTGAATTCAAATGAAAGAGACATGATACACAATCATTTCGGTATTATTTAACAAACCCAAAAAATAATTAAATATTTAATGTTCCAAATATTGATTAACTAGTCTTATGTGTGTTTAGTCTGATTATTAAGTACAAAGTTAGTTTTACGACTGAGATTCTGTGCCGTATTAAGAGAGATGCTAATCTAGGAACGGTGTTCATTTCAAACCCATTTCTCTAAAAATGTATTGCCAAGAAACGTGTGCCATTTGAATAGTCAGAAAGCGAAGTCAGAGATGTATATGATTCGGTTCTAACTAATAAATAGATTCCTCCTTGCAGATAAACTAACCAGTAGAGGTGCCTCAGGTGACTCTGTGGCAGTCTTTTTAGTCGCCTCAAGATCTCTTTCATGGAAGGTCTGTGACTAGGCAATGTGTTAGTACACATTAGACCTAGCTTGAACACTGTTGTCATCTCCTCCGTGTTAGAAGCATCTTTGATGTCCTCATCAAAAGCCTCTGCGATCGGTTTCTTAGATTGGTAATGTCTCCATGACCAATCTGCCAAGTTTGTATGTTCATCTCCGTTGTTTCCTTCTCTTCCAGTCACCAGCTCTAACAAAACTACACCGAAGCTATACTATACACATCGATCTTTTCATCTACCTTTGATGTATATGCGTATTCTGCAAACATTAACTAAAGATGTTAGAGACCAAACAATGAGACCTGCATGAAATATATTTGAAGAGTGTTATTACCTGGAGCAATGTAACCGAAGGATCCAGCAAGCAACAGCTGACATGGTATGAGGTTGTTGGTTTTGCTTAACCAACAATTTAGCCAACCCGAAATCAGCAATCTTGGCGTTGAATTCATAATCAAGCAAGATGTTGCTTGATTTCACATCTCTCTATGTATGATCGCAGGAGTACAATCATGATGCATATAGCAAAGTCCTTGAGCTGCACCGACCGCAATATTCAATTCAAGCTATTAGCCTCTACATGATCACCTCCTTTCTTCTTTTTGGATGTTCATTCCTTGTCTTCTTGCTGTTGATAATGTCTTTCCTGCGTGACTCAAGTCAAATCTTAAGACCCCAATCCACCTGCTCCAAACCCGGTTTTCACAGATGCTGATGTCACTGAGCCACCACTACCTCCGGTTACAGAAAAAGCCCCAACCTCAACCCCTGGAACCCCATCAACCAGTGCACCTCTCTTCTCCTCTCTGTTTTTCGCAATGGTTCTTGCCTCTCTTCTACTTATGTGATCACATCTCCTTGCTGTTGATAATGTCTTTCCTGCGTGACTCAAGTCAAATCTTAACTGCCGCAACCGTAAATTCTTTTCCTGTTTATATTCTACTTCTGTCAAAAAGAACAGGAAATTCTTGGAGTGTAATTTTCCCTCAAATTCATTTTGAGATATTCATTTGTTGTTATAACATATACTCTTGCATTCTGTTTTGTAATATTTATGAGATTGTATCCATTCTAAAAAAAGACGTAATCAACTTCTAATTCCACTGAACATACAAAGTTTTTTTTTTTGGTTAACAATAAATACATTCTACTTTTCAGTTACCTAAAGGTTCTTGAAGACTCTTTTTGGCTTCCAGCTCCTTTACCAACTCTTGCGCAAGTTGGTCTTTCCCTTGATGCTCTAGTCCATTGCAGACCTCATGAACAGTCCTTGAATCAAGAGGAACTGATCTTCTGACCATTTCCCTCAACACTTGAGCTGCTCCATCAAAATCCTCATTCTTACAAAAGGCAGAGATCAGAACATCGAATGTTTGTTCATTCGGATGGCAACCGCTCCTAATCATGCTTCTGTACAGTTCAAACCCACGGTCTGCGTTTCTCCTCACGCACTGTCCAATTATCAACGCAGAGAAGGTCGACGAATTCGGCACCAAACTCTCTTTATCCAATTCCTTAACAAAATGCGCAGCTTTCTTCGTCTTAGCTTGCTTGCACAATCCCAAAATCAACGCATTATACGTCAAGATATCACGCTTAACCCCTTTAAACACCATATCTTCATAAAACCGGTACGCCATCTCATGATCACCCTGTTGACTATACCCATTAATCAAAATATTATAAGTAACAGTGTTGGCCTCCACGTTAACCGCTTTCATCTCACCAAAAACCTTACTAGCTTCTTTCAACTTCACATCCCTACAAAACCCATGAATAAGAGTATTGAAAGTAACCACATCAGGCTGCAACCCATTCTTCCCCATCATATTCTTAAGCTTCCAAGCCAAACTCAAAAGCCCTTTTTCACAGTGACCAGCTATCAACGTATTAAACGTCACATTCGTCGCCTCAAAACCCAACCTCCCCATGTCTTGTAACAACTCAACACCCTTGTCCAACTTCCCAGACCGACAATAACACGAGATAACCATGTTGAGAGTATACGTGTTGGGAGATATCTTACACCTCCTCATCTCTCTATAAAACCTCAAAGCGATATCAACCCTCCCTTGAGACAGCAACGAACTCATATAAGCATTGCAAGACTCAACGTTTGGTAAAAAACCGTAACTCTTCATCTGCATAAACGTATCAGTAGCGTTTCTAAACTTCTTTAAATGAGCAAAAGTTTTAAAGAGTGAGTCAAACACACGTGGCGTAGAGTCACACTCCCTGTAAGAATATAACAAAGCATCGAAGAGCTTCGAAGGTAAATCCACGTCATTAGTTGTTAAGAGTATCATCTCTCTCAAGATTGACTCTGCTGATTTGAATTTCCGGTTCTTGGTTAAAGTGTGGAGAACAACGGCTTGTGTTTCGAGAGAGTGTGAGTTTGGGTTTTGTTGTTTCACAAAGTTGAAGAACTCGAGAGAGAGGACGTGATCTTTCTGGATCTTGAGGAGTATGTTCTTGACTCTGAATGGATCTAAACGGTTTGAGAGGGTATTGAGCTTGTCCCAATCGGATTGAATCAGGTGGCTGTGAGCTACGTTGACGAAGTCGAGGTCTTGGCCTTTGGGTTCCGGGTTGCTTCTGTGAGGGATTGGAATTGTGTTCTTGTGTCTGGAGAGAGTAGTAGGGTTTGGAGATGATGGATCTAGCTTGTTATTATAGATAGGGAAAGTTGAGAATCGAAGATAGAGACGGTGATGAACAGTGGTGGCTATGCGGATCATTATAATACGGTAAGGTTTTTGAAGGTTTCTCACCAGCGAGACTTGTCTTAGTTAGCTACTGCGAGAGATATATGCTTCGGAGACGGCGCCGGAGAAAGAAGTCTAAACACAATAAAAAATGTAAATGGAGGAGATTAGTAAAACTAGCCTCCGACTTCGGTTTTCCGAAACCGAACCCAACCGTCGGTTTATGGTTAACCGGAAACTTTGAAACCTATTCCGAAATTAACCGAATTAAATTTTGGTTTGGTTTGGTTATCGGTTTTTAAATTTTTTTCCGAAAATAACTGATTTATTGGTTTTTCGGTTAATTCCGGTATAATTTTTCAAAAAACAATCGAATATTTTCTAATATTTTTGGTTATTTTGGTTAAGTTCGGATATTTTTGGTTTAATTCCATTCTGTTTTTCGGTTATTTTCGGTTCTGTTTAAAGGCAGGCCTAAGTAAAACTTAGAAATAGAGTGATGAACATTTGTTACACTAATCTGTGTAAGATAATATTTTTTTCTGAGAAGCCCATTTGGCAAAAATATTAAGGAGGCCTTTCTATGTAAGCCCATGATCGAACGAAACAATAAATAAAAAAGAGTTGGAGATGCGGGGTATCGATCCCCGTACCTCTCGCATGCTAAGCGAGCGCTCTACCATCTGAGCTACATCCCCATTGTGCTATCGTTTACACGTTAATTATATATTTTATCACAATTAATTTGAAGATCTTTGTCTTGTTTATTGTGTGCGTCTATAGCTGCAGATGCTCACGGCTTCCGCTCGGCTACCCTATGGTAAAAAGCAGAAACCGATATATGGTTTTTTTTTTCTTCCTGAGATTACAGTTTGGTTATTAGTACCGATCATGTTTTGAAGATTTGTGCGATTTTGGCTTTTAACGAAAGTTAGACCGTGCACACAACATGTTCGATCGAATGTCTCTCAGAAAGTTTCTCTTCCTAATTGCTTGAATTTTCTTTCCACGATTATTTTCATCTTATTCTTACTCATATTATCTATTCCTTGACTCTTAACACATTAAACCTTGACCAGTTGTAGCAAAAAAAAACGAAGAGTTGATTAATCCATCTGGTCTGGATTAGCTGCATTTGAGAATGTCCTTTTGCTATCCATCATCACCAAGAAAACTGGCGGTGACGGTGGCGTTTTTCGCCTCAGGGGCAGCTCTTTTCGCCGTTGGAATCCATCTCTCGTATCTCAACGTTGCTCCTCAGCAAGCTCGTACTAAAGCCCGTAATGATTTTGTCAAAGAACGCCTCAGGCAGAAACAAGGCAAGTGACTTTCAAAGTTTCAGATTATGTCAGCATAACAACAGAGCCATTTCTTTTTGAGTACTTTTACTATATATGTACTCTCCAACTTTGGAAACTTTTCTCTGGAACAAAAGATTGTATTAATGGAGCAAACGGGTACATAAAGTACATCAGAGACCTTTAATAAAACATTCTCTCACAAAGTACAGCGAAAGCAGGGAATGATTCAAAATCTACAGAGAGAACCTAAGGTACAACGAAAGGAGAATCATGGGAAAACTAGATCTTCTTGGGTTTAGATAAGGACTTGCAGAAAGAAGAGAAGGCTCCTCTGATTTCTTCATGGATCGGGAGTGCAAGGGAGAGTGGTGAAGCACGTTGATGATCTTCAAATTTTCCGATTTGGTGTCTCAAGGAGACAGAGTGAGCCAAAGCTGTTTGTCTCTTGTTTAGTCCCTCAAGGATAAAGGAGAAAGCCCCAAAAGTGACGCAACTCTGTAGAAGAGCCTGTGGAGCACCTGCAAACACAGAGAGTATATATGAGACTAATCTGTTTTTATGATGCTAACCAAAGTAAAAAAAAAAAAAAGATAATGGGTTTGGATTACCAGGGAAACTAAGAGCAAGACCGGTGCAGCACCCAGCAACTCCAACATTAATGGCTACAGATGAAATTTATAAGTAAGAGAGAGACATTACAAGTTGATGTAAAACATTCTGAAGAGACTCACCGTCATCTTTCCCTCGCAGTTGTTTCAGAAGACAAACAACCAAACTGTGTACTCCGGACAAAACAGCAAAAGTCTTGAAAACAAGAACAATGCAAATAACTCAGTTTCACTGCAACAATAAAAGCATATTCATTTATAAGATAAGGTACTACCTTTGCAGACTGCCCTGCATCTGCAAATGATCCTTTAAAGCCTTTCTTCTTGAACAATCCTGAACCTGAACCCAAACTTCTAATAGTGAGACAAAATGCTTGATAGTTCAATAACCTCGAAACCAAAACCTTCACCAGCCAATCTTATCACATTAACACACTCTACAACCAAAACCAAACTAACTCTGCTTCTACAGGAAATCATGATTCAAATAAAACAAACGGAAAACAGAATAAAATCTCAGTAAAGCAACAGCAGATAAAACCAGTCATACAAGAAACGAAGAGTAAAGAAAGAAGAGCACCATATCCAAAGATAGAGCCCATGACGGCACCACCAGCTGCATCTCCGGCGAACCGGACAAGACAAACGGCGGGAGCAGGAATAGTCAATGCCTTTGAGGAATCATTATCCGCCGCATCGTCACCGTCAGAGTTAAGGTGTGAATTGGAGTCGAGCTTCCCGTCGATATCAATAGCTTTTGAAGAATCATCGGCCGACATAGCTAAGAAGTTGAAGTCTGAAGATACTCTTCTGTCTGTATGTACCTAAGATAAGATATTTCTTATACAGAAGACGACGACTGCTTACAGTAAACGACAACGTTTTCTATTCTCAGCGGCTAATAATTGGGCTTGGGTTATTTAATGTTATGTAGACCATTTAAAGCCCACTAACGAAGTGACAAAAAGGAAGCTAGAGGTGTCAATTGGGCGGGCCGACCATGGGCTAGCCCTGTCCAATTCATTTTGGACGGGCTATGGACGCGCCCAATTCATATATGGTCCAACTGTATAAAAACCCAATTGGTCTATGGTCTAACTGGTCAAAGACCAAATGGACAATGGGTGTGCATGGGCCTCCAAAACATACAATTTCATAATTTTTATTTAAAACATAGTTTTTGACAAAAACTTTCTGTGAAAAATCAAGATTTTACGGTTTTTGATAGAAAAAAAAGTAGTTTCACAATTTTGACAGAAAATATAATTTTACGGTTTTCTCGGAAAACGTAATTTCTCATTTTTGGCGGGAAAACGTGATTTTTCGGTTTTGGCGGGAAAACGTAATTTTACTGTTTTTGGCGGGAAAGCGTAATTTTACAGTTTTCTCGGAAAACGTAATTTCTCATTTTTGGCGGGAAAACGCAAGTCGCTTGACGAATCAAATATTGACATGTGGCAAATAATTTATATTTAAAAAAAAAGGAAAAAAATTTAAATGCAAAACAGTTTCGTCCTTTAACCGAATGTTTCGATATAAAATGGAAAAATTCTAATATATATTACACTGCATCCACGATCTCAATCTTTAAAACCGCTAATATCTCGCTAGAACTCACGATGCCACAAATATAGTTATATTTCTACTCGCAGCCAAAATTGTAAATTCCTAATTTTTTCTGCAACTACTTCATTGATTCTCAGATCGATTAAAAACTCCTAATGGCCATATCAACATTACCAAATCTACAATTCCAGACTGGAAGCAAAACATTTTCTGACCAAACAATTGCACAACAGAAATCATCGAAAGAAAATTCTTTCAATAAAGTGAGAAAGGAGGAACACAGATAACTACGATTGATAGACTAAGCGTACTTCAAAAGTAGCAGATGAAGATTAGAGCCAAGGTTAGTGAAACTAAGCTCTTTTTGCTCAAATAAATTTATTTTTCATGAACCTTTTCCTAACCCTATATATATTCTTTTCGTTTTCTGCTCTCTAGACATTGGCAAAAACTGGATACTGCATGGTGGAAAAAGTAAAGGTAAACAAAATATGTCATTAACATTTTCAAAATGGATTAGTTAATTCTCAATTTTCTCTAATAGATCTCACCTAAGGACACGTACAAAGCTCCTACAAAACTTGAAAGCATCACAAGAAGAAAAAGGACAAAAAAGGAAAATGTGGAGATAACTGGGAAGGCAACAAATGAGGTCTGTCTAGGAAACTCCGGTGGTAGAGAAAACGAGGGAGATTGTTGCCTACTGCTAGATCAAGACCTGGCCTAATAAAGTAGGTGTTCCTATTCTGTAGTATGTGTTTTTTTTTTTGGGTTCAACTTAGTATGTGTTTATAATCTTATAGAAATATGGTGATATTTTTGTTTGCTTTAGCATCAAAATATATAGCCTTTTTGCGTTTATAAATTTTAGTTGTAGATACTATTAGCATCAAAATATATAGCCTTTTACTTTTATAATTCTTATTTGTAGATACTGTAGAATTAATAAAGTTCCAAATAGCATTGAAAACATAATGTTGACTGATACTTGGATACTTCTTTCTCTATAATGTTTCAGATATTTAGTAAAAAGGATTATAGTTGGTCGTAGGGGAGGAACATATGAAGTCTTGGAGATGGCAAAAACAGTGCAGCATGGGAACGTAAATATAATTCTAAGAGAAAATTAACAAAGGTACATATTTGCAATTACATTCACTTTTCAGTCTTTCCAAATTCCAATACACAATTTGATTTTCAGATGTTTGATATATCAATCTATACACGTGCAGTGATAAAAATATATACTCTATTGCATCACAGACACAATCAAATTCTTCAAAGGTTTTATTGAAGTCTTTGTTCTGTAAACATACATACATGTCATTCTTAGTTATATATAATTTCAAAGCCATAAGCAACAAATGAAAGGTCACACGGCGTTTAATTAACAAGGTCACGAGGTCTTTAATTAAATCCCTCGTGAGATTAAAGATATCAGCATATTTATTGTAAAAATAGTTCTAGATATTTTTATATATTTTAACAGATCTACTTAAATATAATCCATAATTATAATATGTTTAAAAATTACTAATTTATTTAAGTTTACAACTATAATAAATAATTAAAAATATAAGAGACTTTGTCCGTGCATTAGCACGGGAAGTAACACTAGTATTTTACTAAATTTCTAAATGTGAACGTAGACTCTTCTTCTGTTTATAAACTTAGTCCAAATTGTTTTATGGTGTTCGTTAATCCAACCTTTACAAATCTTTGTTTCCGTTTAAGACATCACTAGTAAATGCATGGGAATGAATCTTTCATAGACCTTACGTGTTCGACAAGTTTGGCGGCAAACTATAGTATTTCATTTAGACCATACTGACCAACTTTAAACAAACTATATGCGTCGAATGTTTTCTCTCAAGCTAATAGAAAATTTTCTCATGAACAATTCAAAATCGAAAGTTTAAACCAAAGGAAAAAAATATATGTAAGAAACAAAAGTTAACAATTAGAGTTACAAACACAGCACACAACATCAACAATCTTGAAGGAAGAAGAAGTGAAAACCTAAGTAATAGTGATCGAGAATCAACGATCTCTAGTTATTGCTATTGAAACAGAACGCAGAAACCAAATCTTTGTATCTCCGCAGCTACTTATCTGATCTTATCTTTATGTAAGAATTAGATACAGAAGTAAAAAAAAAAAAAAACAGAAACTCACTGTGACGAAGAAAGTTGGTATCTCTTTCTCTACTTTTGATAGTATTAAATTACAACTCTGCTTGTTCTTGATCTACAAGTATCACTTTTCTTCATCTGTCTTTTTCTCTATGCTTCAATACCTAAAAATGTTAAACTCAGTTATACTCAACTAGAGAATCAAAAGTACCAGAAGAGATCAACAAAGCTAAAGCCTTTAAGATACGTACCTCTATTTGTTTGTCTATTTCCTCCAACACTGTAGCTTCCAGGGTAATCTTCAGAGGCATTAGCAGATGGGTAGTCTGAGCCTACATTGTCAATACCAAACCCAAAAGAGCCATCTAACTCATTAGAAGGTTGATGAGGCATCCTCTGCTGCCACGTTGAGTCGCTATACACCGAGCTGCCTCTGTACAATTCCCCTATAGAGCCATCAAAACCATTTGTATTGGTGTTACCAGAGAATGATAACGCAGAAAGTCCAGAGCCCGTCTCAAAGTTAAGTCCCCAGTTTCCTCTCTTGTTACCAACAGAGACACCCAAGTTCCAACCTGGACCAGAAGAGTCTGTTCTGTTTCCCCACAAGTCACTATTGCTCGAGTTGTAAGCAGAGTCGCCTCTACTGAATCCGATTGGAGAGTTGTAACGGTTTGGTGAAGCATTGTTGAAGTATTGGTTGCCTGGAACCCGGCTATAACCAATAGTGTTTCCATTCAAACACTGTTCTTGATTCAAACCAAAACCAAAGCTAGAGAAAGCATTTCTACCGCTACCAATAGGACTAATTCTAGAACCAGCAGGGACTATGTTGTTACTATAACCAGGAGCAAAACTATTAAAGTAGCTATTACTACCAGAAGACCTATTAGAGACTACTCCATAGTTATTACCAAACCCAAGAACCGGACTTCGGTTAGCAACAGGAGCTTGGGAAGACTCCTTTGGCACTGCTCTTTTAACCTCAACCATTTTACCGTTAAGTTCGTGAAAACTCTTGTGAAGAACCATCTCCACAGACTCTTCGGAATCAAAAGTGATGAACCCAAAGCCACGTGGCCTCTGCGTGTTGTGATCATACATCACCACAACATCAGCAACTGTACCAAACTGATCAAAGTAGTTTTTAAACTCAGCCTCCGTAATGCTCGATGGTAAACCACCAACAAAGATCTTCTTTGTTCTAACGCTGCCACCATTACCACCACCATGGTTAGGTGAGATAAGTTTCATTGGACTAGCATGCCGTTTCAGCACTTGCTGATCATCCCGTGGAACAGCTTTCTTCGCCTCAACCTGTATATGATGACACAAAGATCTAAACTACAGAACTATCCATTGCTCAAGATACATCAATGAAGAATCTTTTTTGAAGATTACTAACCGTGCGGCCATCGATGATGTGTTTCTCCATGATGACTCTCTCTGCAACAGAAGGATCTGCGAAGACGATGAAACCAAAGCCACGTGCACGTCCCGTGGCACGGTCACGCATGATCACAGACTCGAGTAAATCACCATACTTGCTGAAATACTCTTGGAGTCGTTCTTCATCTGTGTCCCATGAGATCCCGCCAATGAAGAGCTTTCCTAGATCCGATAAAGATTCCATCTTTTGCTCCTGCAAAAACAATAAACGCGATTTCAATGGATTTGATCTTATAAACACCGATCAGTTGAAAATACTGAAGAAATCTTAAGGACGTTTTTTAAAAAAAAATATGATCAAAGCTCTGAGCTTTATGATGAGATAATCTTTAGAGATTGAGACATCTCTAAACATGGAAAAACTTAATATCAAACGGTAAGAGAAACATGGAAAATGTACTTTTGTCTGAAAACAGAATCCAAGTCCCCGTTCAAATCGGAATTGAGTGTTTTCAAATCTGACAATGGATTAACAAAGCATCCAATCAAAATAAAGAACATATAATCGTCCAGACAAAATTATAAATATAAATAAAAAAAAAACTACAAAGGAATGAAACAGACATTCAATAGGATGAAAAACGGCAAAATGGACAATGACAGAAGAGAGAAAAGAAAAGAAAACGTTAGATTTTTTTTTTAAAAAAATCTAAAATCAAACTTGTGGAGTGTGAAATTCACCATCTTGGAGAGGACCCAGATGATAAGAAATGTGGAAAACCTTTAAGATCTAAGGAAAAGGGACAAGGACAGGAGAAACAGAGGATGTTTTGCTCATTCTACAAGGCATCCCTATCTCTCTGTCTCTAATGGGTTCTTCTCTTATCAAGATGGTCTCCCTCTCTCTCTCAAGTTTATTAAAAAGATTTTCTTATTATCTTTTCTGTAATGCTTTCTTAATTTTTTTTTTTACTTTGAATTCCTCAGGCCAAAGATGGTAAAAGAGAACAGTCACAAATAATAATAGAGGGAAAGATTTGAGATTTGCATCTCTCTTTTGGTATGTAAGAATCTTATTTTAGAGAAGGCAGATCATAGCTGCTTTAGTTTTTAAATTTATATTTAACCACACATATATTTGCCCACTAGCAATTACTTTGTGAGGAACAACCAAGTTGTAGTTTTACATTTTGTTTTTGTGGATTTGCTACTGCACTACTTAGTTCAGTTGTGCAGTCGCTCAGAAAAATTCAATTCAAGAGTTGTGTACTAGTGTATTAGTGAATCTACAAAAAAAGTTTGAAGTAGAAAAAAGATGTCAAATGACAAATGAAGTGAAGGATGGTAACATCAATAAAAAGTGTTTCCTTAACCCATCAGAAGCTTTTTAAATACAACACAAGAAGAAAAAACAATTTAACAAACAAAATATTAACATGTTTTCCACAACCTTTACACATTATTCCTTGCTTTAGAAACAAACCATGCTGAAACTTTATGCATATAGTACTTTCATATAACTAGAAACACTTTTTAGATATGATTTTGTTATTTAGTATTTGAGTAAATTGTCATATTGGGTAAATTTTCATATAACCAAAATTTACACCCTCATATATGTAGCACATTAATAATATGAATAGCATGTTATTGCCTATAATAAGACCTTTTACACAATACATATAACACTAACTAACAAACATCACAGCACATTATTGTAGATGAACATCACAATAAATCATGTATGTAATGAATTCATTCGAATCAAAATTCCAGATATTTGTAACTCTATGAAATAAACGTAAATATACTATTGATAAAAAGTGAATCAAATCACAAATACTATTTTTTTTTAGTAGAAAGTCCTCCTACCAAATTTCAAATTATAAATACAAGAAAACCAGCATATGCGCTTAACCATCAGCATAATACGGGCGGTGGTAATTCTATAAAACTATTAGAGAAGATAGGATATATACTGTATACAGCTTGATCCTATGTGGACGCAAAAGTCTACCCAAATTGTTCTTTTTGGACAAATGTTTATACGAGTATCCAAATGCTGCATTATGTTTGGACAAATGTTTATTATTTGTTTGATGTCAAAAAAAAAAGGTATTATTTGACTGGTAATATCCAATCCCAATTTAACTACCAAGTACAGTACTTAACTGTGTTTCTACAAGTCATAACTTGCAAACTGGCTATGTTAATCATGTTAGTCGAAAAAGCCTAATTGATAGTGTTAATTGGATCTAATTGCTCATGTTACAAATGGGCTATAATCTAGTTGACCTTCAGATACTATCCAGCGTGTTAGTTATTGTGGCCATTAGCCCAATAGAGCTCAAAAGTATAAGGAGACTATCCACAAATTATGTTTTGAATATTTGTGACGAATCGTCTGGTCACTGTCGAAAAATGATATTGGATTAAGTTGTTTTTTCTTTATTTAATAAGAAGGTCCGCTAATTTATTTATTTATTGTTGGATCAAACGTTAATTTCCATATTAATATGAAAAAAAAATTGATAAAAGTAAAATAAAAAGAGGCTAAAAACAAACAAAAAGAAGAGAAAGAAATATTTAAAAAAAAAGGAAAAAACAATGAATTGAAAGAGCGGTCGGAAAGTCGATCTCTTTCTTACAAAATCTTTCACTAACACAAAGCTTTAGAGCAAAAGAGCTATCAATCCGCCATAGCCGAGACCTTCCTTTTTTTAACTTCTTTCGTTTCCTCCATTCTTCTTCCCTTCTTTCTATAGATAATGAACCCTCAAGTTCACAATGACGGGAAGGAGTTTCAGTTAGACTGCTCAGCGACGGTAGAAAGGCACGATTCAGTGGGAGGAGGAAGAGGAGGAGGAGGCAATGGTGGTGGTGGTGCGAGGTACAAGCTGATGTCACCGGCTAAGCTTCCGATCTCGAGGTCTACCGACATCACGATTCCTCCTGGTTTGAGTCCCACTTCCTTTTTGGAATCTCCCGTTTTCATCTCCAACATCAAGGTTAATCTTACTACTTCATCTTCTCGACTTTTAACCTCTTTTCGTGGGTTCAATTGAGAGAAATTAGGTTTTCTAATTGCATTTAAGACCTAAAGAGTAGATTTTTATTTCGTGAAATTGAATAGTAACAAAACAAAAACAAGATAGTTTTTGTTTGGTTTGACATTATTGTTCCACTTGGTTGGTTTTTGTCGTTGCTTCAGATTCTGATTCGGATCACTGTTCATATTGTGGTTTTTAAGTGGAGCTTATAAGATTCTTCTTCTAGTAGTGTGTGTGCTTAGTGGTAGGGAAAGGTTTCTTAATTAGTTTTTTTTGGTAATTTGGTGAAGATGCTTCCTGTTTGCCCCACAAGGTAATAACATCGTTTCCGTTTTTGTTTCTTAATCATTTTGTAAGTGCTGCTTATATAACTATGATTATCTTTGCTTACGTTAACATAATTTTGGCCCAGATTCGGATTCTTCACGTTCCTATACTCTGCATTCATGTCCGTTCAGATTGTTCTCTCGAATAAACCACCCTTTTCTATATATCATTTCTGCTACGTAGTTTTTATATATATCCTCTCTCTCTTCATCTTTTTTCCTCTTCACATTGTCCATCTTAGTTGTGTTTAATGCTGCTTTTGTCTTTACCCCTTCTTTGTTAATTCTTTTCTCTGTTAGTCACTTAGTTGTATAGGACTCTCATTTGCTTATATTAGAGGTATTGAATGACTCTGTTGGTGAGTAAAAATACTTTCTATCATGGTATCTCGTTTTATGGGGTTTAGGGTTTAGTTATGCTTAAAACCTAACAGTGACGAATAGTTGGTTTATGTTTGTTTCCACTTATAAAATTTCTATATGTGAATTTTCTTCAACTTTCAGCCTGAACCTTCCCCTACTACTGGTTCTTTGTTCAAGCCACGACCAGTGTACGTTAGCTCAAGCTCTTATACAGGAAGGGCATTCCATCAGGACAACACCTTCACTGAGCAAAAGTCCAGTGAATTTGAGTTCAGACCTCCTGCATCCACTATGGTATTGTGTAAAGAAATGCCTTTTGTTTTGCTTTAGAATGTTATGTACTGTTCAGAAAATGACTCCTACAATTTATATCACTCGAAACCTTATATCTACAAGCTTTATACAGTTCTTAAGTACCTTGTATACTGTTCCGTGGTGGCGTTGTCTAAATATCTTTATTGATTTCAAGGTTTATGCAGAGCTTGACAAGCATAAAAGTGAGCCAGCAGTCCAATTTCAAGGCCAGGGCTATGGATCCTTACATTCACCTTCTTCTGTCAGTGAGGCTGCAGCTAGCTCAAGTGATCTGAGCCGGCCAACTCCTCCTCGTCAGAATACACCGCCAAGCTCAGATATTCCTGCCGGATCTGAGCAAGATGAATCAGTCTATACATCGCAAAATGATCCGAGGGGGAGTGCACCATCAGTTTTGGCTGATGATGGTTACAACTGGAGAAAGTATGGTCAAAAGCATGTCAAAGGGAGTGAATTCCCGCGGAGCTATTATAAATGCACACATCCTAATTGTGAAGTGAAAAAATTATTTGAAAGGTCTTATGATGGCCAGATCACAGATATTATTTACAAGGGTACACATGACCATCCTAAACCTCAACCTGGTCGACGCAACTCTGTTGGTCTTGGTATGCCTGCACAAGAAGAAAGAGTAGGTAAGTGTCCTCTAGTGACTGGCCTAGATGGTAACTTTATCTAAAACTTGAGAGAAGATTCACAAACTCTACTTGAGAAAACATGTAACTTCATCTCTTTATTCCTGCATGCAGAGAAGGTATCTGGCGTCTACAACTTGTCACAAGCCATTGAGCAAACTGGTAACCCTGAAGTACCTCATACAACTGACGATGGTGGAGAAGTTGCAGTGTCAAATAAGAATAAAGATGACCAAGATGAAGATGATCCATATACAAAACGGAGGTATTAGAATATAAGGATTCAGGTGATTTGTTTGAAACAGTGATTTGACGTGATCAAAACTTTGTTCTAACTTTATGCAGGAGGTTGGATGGAACCATGGAAATAACTCCACTTGTGAAACCTATCCGGGAGCCTAGGGTTGTTGTTCAAACTCTAAGTGAGGTTGACATACTTGATGATGGTTATAGGTGGCGTAAGTATGGCCAGAAAGTCGTTAGGGGAAACCCAAATCCCAGGTTCGTACAACCACACAACTCTTTCTGCTCAAGTGAACATACACAAGCAAAACTTAAAGTTTAAGATGATAGCTAGAGCAGTTTAGCCTTTGTCGTCAAGGGCTAGTTATTTGGTTTGTGCATAAAGTGTTGATCCCTTGGCTTTTTGTAGGAGTTACTACAAGTGCACAGCATCTGGATGCCCAGTGAGAAAACACGTGGAGAGGGCATCACATGATCCAAAAGCTGTAATAACAACATACGAAGGCAAACACAATCACGATGTCCCCACTTCAAAGTCTAGCAACAATCATCATGACAACCAGCCTCGGTTCAGACCAGTTGAAACAGACACCATCAGCCTCAATCTTGGTGTTGGAGTCTCATCTGATGGACCTAACCACACTTCCAACGAGCATCAGCATCAGAATCAACAACTCATCAACCAAACTCACCCAAATGGAGTCGGTTTCAGGTTTGTTCATGCTACTCCCATCTCATCCTACTATGCTAGCTTAACCAGCGGTGTCAATCAGTATGGCCCGCCGAGAGAAACTCAGAACGAGACTCAAAACGGTGACATCTCGTCCTTGAACCACTCATCTTACCCGTATCCACATAACATAGGGAGAATACAGTCTGGTCCTTAGAAGACAAAGGAAGCGGCAGTAATGGATTCTTATTAGGTTAGGAATGGACCTTCTATATGATTCATCTCTCTCTGTCTCTACTGGAGATAACTGATCTTGATTTGAAAATATTTTTACCACTATATATATATTTGTATGTGTCACCTGTTTTGAGTTCAAAGAATGTGTTGTAAAATTACAGTATGATAAATGCTTTATTGTTAAACAAGAAACATCAATATGTTATTACAAAGTGTTTCTTTTTCTCCTTAATTCGATAAGTTCCATTGAAGAAGCTCAGGTGCAATACAAAGACATGATCCAAGGCCCCCATGAAAAGCAATTTAAGCCGTTGTATGATCTTCCAGATTGAATAATGTATGAATAACAGTAAAACTGTCCACGATGGGTCGTACCTTGCCAAGTGGTCCACAAGCTAGTATAAACACCCATGATGATTAGTTTCGTTTCATTTTAAGTGACGTTGTAAAGAAAATTTTTGTTACAAAATATAAATAATTTTAGGATTTAGCATAATTTATGTCATTAATTTATCTCTATTACTCTTATATTAACTATACAAATGTTAAAAGTAATAGAATTTTAATAGTTAAATAAAATCAAAACTGAATATTATTTTTTTAGTTAGTGTAAAAATATAGAAGGACATATCTAATGTAAACAAAATGAATAAAAAGTAAACAATATGGATTTTTTAATCCCAAAGAATGCAAACTTATGCTAAGAGTTTTACTAAGTATCTATTAATGCTAAATTAAGGATATTGAATTTCGAATCCTATTAAAATACCTATACGAAATTCTCATAAAAAATAAGGTTAATCCATGTTTTCTTGAAACATTTAAAAATGATCTATTTAGATTTAATTTTTGTAAAATGGGTATAAAATCCTTTGTAATAATATAATTAGGTAACATATATAATTAAAAGTTGAAACAAATTAATTAAGGAAACAATATATATGTTTATGCTTGACTTTGACTTTTTATATGGACAACCCATATTAATAAAAAAAAGTCTTATACATTTCCATGTATATATTATATCTTAGCTAATAAGTTAAAAATGATTTTAATTTCTTAAAATAAGAAAAACTCAGTTAAATTGTATTACTTAGAAGCGAAGATTTGTTAATTTTTATTATTTTTCTCTGTTTAATATATATTTTTTAAAATTATATTAACCACAATCTCTAAATTAAAAATAACTATAACTTGGAATGAGTTAAATAAATACAAAAATAAACATTAATATAGTTTTAAATCCTTAATTAATAGTTTCATAAAAGATCTTTAATTAATAAAAATTTAAGAAAAAGAAAAAAAAGATAATTTATTCGTGGAAGATATAAGGTTCGGCACGTGTTTCATAATATGAAGTCAAGCTAGTATTCTACCGTCATCAATCCGCGAGAATCCTCAAGAATCAAATCTGGACCGTTGATAAAGTCTCTCAAGCATTGAAATGACTGCAATGCTTGACCCAAATATCCGACGTGGCATTTAACTGTATATAAAAACTGGTTTTGTGTCTGAATACTTTCACTTCTTTCTCTCTCTCCTCAAACGCTATCGAAAGAGAAAGCTATTTGTTCTGTTTCGAAAGGCAGAAAAAAAAACTCAGTGCTGAGTCTCGGGACAGTGAGGTGAGATTCCAAAGTCTTGTCCTTTAGAACCCTGTTGGATAATCCTTGTCAGATGTATGTCTTGTGTTTTGTCTGATGTCGCATGCTCTTTGTGTGTTGTTAAGGCTTGGATAAGAAGTTAGGGTTTTTCATGTGCTTTGTTGATCTGTGAATTTCAATGTTTTTGAGAATTTATTGTCTTTCTATTTGATAAATGCATGATTTTTGAGAGATTTAAGTTAAAAGGAGATGACTTTATTGTGTTTCTCTGAATTGATGATATGTAAAAGGTGAGGGGATCTCTGTGAGTTATTGCGTGGTTTGATTTATCAATCTAGGTCTTTTTTTTCATCCAGAATGCATTGGAATTTAGGATAAAGGATGAACCTTTAAGATTTCAGATTTGATTTCTTTAATGCTAACCCTTGATTTCTCCATTAAAATTTAGATTTTGATCTTCTTGTTCAGATCTAAAATAGGACTAAGAGATTATTGTGGAACACACATGAGATTTAAGTTGAATATCTCTTTAATGTTTCTTGTTGGCTCTATGGTTGACCAATTTTTCCTAAAGTTCAGTACTTTATTTGCATACATGCCTAGTCAATGCGTTTAACATGCTCTGTGTGATATTGAGTTGCTGTTTTGGCTAGTCTTTGGGTGTGGCTTCAGTTCATCAGATGTTGATTTTGATTATCTTTACTTATTTCTCATGCAGCTCTTGGTGGACAACAATAAGTGTTTTCATTGGAAAAGAATCTACTAAACTGTTTTAATAATGGGGGAAGAAGATTCAAAGGCAACCGTTGAGGCAACAGCAACAAAGACTACCTCTCTTGAAAAGCCATCAGAGGTTATGAAAGGAAACAAGGAGGAGAATGGTGGAGGTAAAGAAACGCAAGAACTTGAGAAAAATGAGGAGAAGGCTGAACCTGAAAAAATGGAGATGGATGCTGGGATTGAAAAAATGGAAGAAGACGTTACTGTCACCAAAGATGAGGGACAAGCAGAGGTCACCAACATGGATGAAGATGCTGATGGAAAGAAAAAGCAAAGTGATGATGGTGTCTCTGAAGGTAGTAAGGTGGAAGATACTGTAATGACGGAAAATGTTGAATCTAACAATGGCAAAGATGATGAAAAGCAAGAGACTAAAGTGGCAGACCACAAGAAAGCTGAGAAAGAATCAGAGGAGGACGTGAAAGATGAAGGTGAAAGAGTAAATGGAACAAGACAGGAGGATGAGGAGAAGCTGGTAGATGGAGACAAAGGGACAGAAAAGACTGAAAATGTGGAGAATGTGGATGAAGATAAAAAGGTACAGAGTGTGGAGGAAGATCAAAAAGTGGAGACTGTGGATGAAAAGGAAAAGGAGGATAATGCAAAGGAGCAGAAGGAGGAGGGCTTGGTTGAAGAAGGAAAAGAAGGGGAAGACATAGAAGAAGATAAAACAGAGAAAGTAGAAGCGGCAAATTCAAAGGTGGAAGATGAAGATGAGGATGGCAATGAAAAAGTGGAGAGCAAAGATGCAAAGGAAGATGAAAAAGCTGAGAGCGGTGATGAGAAGGAAGATGAGAAAGAAGAGAGCAAGGGTTCTAAAAAGCGTGGGAAGGGAAAGGTTGTTGAGAAGACAAAAAATAAAAAAGAGAAAAAGGATGCAGAACCGAAGACTCCTTTGTCTGATCGCCCTGTGCGTGAGCGGAAATCAGTTGAGAGGCTTGTCGCAGTGATTGATAAAGACTCTTCCAAAGAATTCCATATTGAAAAGGTTTTCCAATACTTTCCTTAGTTCAGTTGAACTTTCGTTGCTAGATATGTTCATAATTGTCTTTTATAATGTTACAGGGGCAAGGTGTATATCTCAAAGATATTTCCAGCGGTATGTTCCTGTGAACCAATATTATGAATCAATATTATTAATATTCCTTTCATGGTTTCGTTTTGTTCTTATAATATATATCATGAATGTTTCTCTGTAGTTGCATACAAGGTAACGAGGAAGAAGTCGGAGGGAACTTTGAGGTCGCTGCACACAATTCTATTTGCCAGGAGAGGGAAGGTGAGTGTTTTTATTCCGCCACTCTAATAGTTAAAGTTCTAATTTTTCAAACATGCATATTCTCTTGAATGTTTACTAGTTGTGCTGCACTCTTATGTCAGCCGCATGTCTGCTATTCATGTTCATATATTACTCATTCTTAATGTTTTGACAGGCGGCTCAGATCAAGACAAACATATTGGGCTTCTCTGGCTTTGTTTGGCATGGAAATGAGGTGTGTAATATCACATGTGACATTTATTTTAAGCATACTTTTGAATTTGTTTATAATTGCGTTTTTGTTATTTGCAGGAAAAGGCAAGAAAGAAAATAAAAGAAAAGCTCGATAAATGTAACAAAGAAAAGCTGTGGGAGTTTTGCGATGTGTTTGACATACATTTTTACAAAGCTACAACAAAGAAGGTCAGTATGGCTATTTATTTCTGTTCTTGAATCTGAAGTTTAAAGATATCTTTCTCTTGTTGAGCCATTTCTGGTTGTAGTCATCAAGTTTATGATAATTCGTTTCCTTATTTATCAAATATTTATAACTTATTATGGCATGGTTTCTCAACACAGGAAGATCTTATTACAAAACTGATTGAGTTTTTGGAGAAACCTCATGGGAAAAGCGACATTCCAGCTAATGAGAAAGATAAGGTATTTTGGTGTTACAAAACGTTGTTCATATAGAGTTTCTTTGTGCATGTTTCATTCTTTTAAAAAATTCTGTTGAAACAGTCAAGTACTGGAGCAAAGCGAAAGAGAACTCCAAAGAAAAGCTCCCCTGCAGCTGGAAGTTCATCCTCCAGACGATCATCAAAGGTATCACAATGCGTAGCTTAAGATCAGTCTCAATGTTACTTATCTGCAACTGTAAATTACTGGTCCCAATAGATCTGATTATATTATTTCCATGGCATTTGCAGAGAAAACGAAAGTCTGAGGAAGGAACAAAGGCTGTTAAAAAGAGTTCAGCTGATTCTGAGGATGAGTCTGAGGATGCAGAAAAGGAGAACAAAGAGGAGGAGGAGAATGATAATGGTATTCCTGATAAATCTGAAAGCGAGGAGAAAGATGAATCTGAGGAGGAAGAAAGACCAAAGAAGAAGAAGCGCAGTTCGAAAGTGTCAGCTGGGAAGAAAGAATCTGCAGGGAGAGCTAGAAACAAGAAAGCGGCAGTTGCTTCAAAATCCAGTCCTCCTGCGAGAGTTACACCGAAGCGAACATCAGCAAAACGAAAGAAGACAGATGATGACAGTGATACAACGCCAAAGGCGTCTTCTAAGAGGAAGAGGTCTGCAAAAGTTACCAAGGCCTCGGCCCCGTCAAAGTCTGTTTCAAAAGAGAAGCCAGGTTTGAATATTATCCTGTTTATATTTATCTTCCACTAAGATAATCAGTTAGGTAGAATACAACATGTGTGTGTGAGTGTAAGGTTTATCAGACTCCATTAGCAGAAGCTAACCTATACTGTAGTCACTAATGTTTTCTGACACCATTTTTATCTGTGTTTCTGCCTATGCTAGAAGTGAAAAGTGCTGGAAAAGGGAAAGAGAAAATCAAAGGGCCAAGTGATAATGTGTTGAGAAAAGCAATCATTGAGATTTTGAAAAGGGTGGATTTGAATACGGTGAGTTAATTTTCTCAAGCTTTTAATGGGATTCTGCAACTATGGAAGTTTCTGCATTTTCTGAAAGTTATTTAGACTTTGTTGTAAAATAACTGTATATACCTTTTATATCTAGATAACCTTATTTGATCATTGTTGTTCTTCTGCAGGCTACATTTACGGACATCCTCAAAGAACTTGGTATGAACAGATTGGTTTCATTAATTTCTTTTTGGTTAGATTATGTGTTTATGTATGTAAAAAAATATATTGTTTTACCCATATCTCAGCTAAGGAGTTCAAAGAAGATCTCACCCCAAGAAAGTCATCTATAAAGCTGATGATCCAAACTGAGCTCACCGAACTAGAAGAAGAGGTTGATGAACAAGAGGAAGAGAAGGAAGATGATGCAGAGAAGGAGAAAGAAGGAGGGTCTGCTGAGGAGGAGAAGAAAGAAGAGAATGCAGAGAAGGAGAAAGAAGAAGCGTCTGCTGGTGCTGAGGAGGAGAAGAAAGGAGATAATGCAGAGAAGGAGAAAGCAGAAGCGTCTGCTAGTGCTGAGGAGGTTAAGAAAGGAGATGATGCAGAGAAGGAGGAAGCAAAAGGCTTTGCTGGTGCTGAAGAGGTTAAGAAAGGAGATGATGCAGAGAAGGAGAAAGGGGAAGGGTCTGCTGGTACTGAGGAGGTTAAGAAAGGAGATGATGCAGAGAAGGAGAAAGCAGGAGGCTCTGCTGGTGCTGAGGAGGTTAAGAAAGGAGATAATGCAGAGAAGAAGAATGTAGAAGGGTCTGCTGGTACTGAGGAGGTTAAGAAAGGAGATGATACAGAAAAGGAGAAAGGAGGAGGCTCTGCTGGTGCCGAGGAGGTGAAAGCCTAAACTCTTTTCTGATCACATGGCACATACCTAGACTCATCTCTCTCTCTCTAGCCTACCATTTAAAACTTTGGATATAATATTTTGTTGTTGTTTTTGTTTGAGTCTGGATTTGCGTAAACCAGCTTTACTTTTGGTAGAGACAAGAAGTAAATTTAGCTGCTGCATAGCCAAAAAGATAGGGTTGCTTGTATGTCTATATACCATTTAGCATAAAAGCCTCCTTGGATTGTTGTTTGAATTGTGAGGCTCCCTTTTCAGACATTGTCCAGTTTTCTTTAGTTCTTCTGGTACAGACAAGGCCAATGGTAATAAATGAATAATATGATTATCTTGTTTCCCTTTTTGTTTTCGTGTTGGTATGTGAATATCAAAATATGCATAAAGGATTGAAACTGCTCCTGTTACAATTATAGTACTCTGCTGTTACAATTATAGCACTTAGCCAGATTGTTTTGCAATGTGACATTACAAATACACACGAATGGGTAAGCATGGAGAACTAATAACACTTGTCCATGCTTGAACCATTCTGTCTGCTGCTCTATATAGTTAACAACAACATCTAAACAATAATATAAAATCACGAGAGACCTTTGTCTTTACAGTAATCAACAATCATTAAGGCAAAACTACTTTAAGTAATTAAACTACGCTCCCTTGGTTAAACTTCATTTCGGCATCATCTATCTCCAGATGCAACACATTCATGAAGTTAACCGAAGACTTTACCGGCTGGATTGCAAAAAACGAATCTCGGTTAAAGAGATAACCGGATTTAAAGTATTACTCGTTCAGGCTTTAACCACTCTTGCTGCTGTTTTGTTGTTATTACATAACAAAACTGTTAACAATGTTTTTCCTTTGTCTTTTCAGAAACCAACGTAAGAAGGCAAAACTGCTTCAAGTAACTTAACTACGCTATTAAGTGAGAGAAAACTCTGTCTCCAGACATAAAGTTCATGAAGTTAACCGAAGACTGTACCGGGATCGATTGCCAAAAAACGAATCTCGGTTAAGGACATAACCGGATTTAAAATATTACTTCGGACACCACTCAGTAGAGAATCACTGAAACATTCACTTCTCCTCTCTCTCCTCTCCTCTCCATAGTTTTCCAGTTTCGATCTATCAAAAAAAGTTTCAAACTTTAAATGGGAAGTGGAAGAGACAGAGACGACCCTTTATCCTTCACATCATCTGCTTCCTCTCCGGTCACTGTATCCGATTACCTCGACAACAACAACAACAACTTCCTCGGCGAACCGACTTCTCGCTCCGGGAGTTTCCAAAGCGAGAGCTTGCTCGGTGGAGGAGAGACCAGCAACGACGCTGATTTCGGATTCGCTCGTCCTGATTTCCGATCGGAGGAACTCGCTGGAACCGTTCAGTTTTACGAGAGGCATGTTTTCTTGTGCTACAAAAAGCCTTCTGTTTGGCCGGCGAGGATCGAGGCGGCGGAGTTTGATCGGTTGCCGAGGCTTCTCTCTGCTGCTGTATCGGCTAGGAAAAGTAGCATGAAGAAGGAGGTGAGCCTTTTATTTTCCTAGTCTATCTTTATGTGATGGATTCTCAGCTTGTTTATGTTAACTTGAATCTAGATTCCAAGAGTATTGCTTGTTTCTTACGTTTGTCTAATTGATTCCAACAGTTTTGATTCATGGGTTTGTGATTAGAATTCATTTTACCAATTTGGAGATCATTATGGTTAAAAGACACTTGCTTTCTGTCGTTTTAGGTTAGTCAAAGTATCTTTTTAAGATCTTAATGGATCATCAAATCATTCTGTTCATGGGACTGTTTGGATTTGGTATGGGTTAGTTAAGGTAAAGTGTCTATTTATGGCAAGAATCTATGGTTTAACAACATAAAAAGAACTTGTCTGTAGGGTTCAGTATGGGTCATTGAACACATAAGTCTGCGTTTGAGCTTTATTTGCAGTGGTTTACTTTTTATTTTCATGTGCTTATGTCTGTGGTGGAATTTATGTGGAAGTGGTCGATTGCTTAGTCTTATGTTTTTTGCATCAATCATGAATATCTTTTTAACGATATGCATTTTGTGTGTGTTTTCCGTCATTTGTAGACTCGACTCACAATATGTGAGGGCCATGATGGAACAGAGACATCTAATGGGGATGTACTTATCTTTCCTGATATGATCAGATACAGGTAATGGTCCAAGTATTTCTTATAGTTTCCGTTATTCTTCAACAGACGAGCTTTGTTTATTGACAGTTTCGTTTTCATTTAAAAAATGCAGAAGGTTGACTCATTTTGATGTGGAAACATTTGTGGAAGAGGTGCTTGTTAAGGATGGTGAATGGCTGCCTGGAAATCCTGAATTGCTAAAAGGTTCATATGTCTTTGTATGTTCCCATGGATCCCGAGACCGACGATGTGGGGTTTGTGGGCCACCGTTGGTTAGTAAATTTAGAGAAGAACTTGAGTTTTATGGTCTACAAGGTAAAGTGTCAGTTAGCCCATGTTCTCACATTGGTGGTCACAAATACGCTGGGAATGTTATCATCTACCAATCAAAGATCCACAGGAAAGTCACTGGACATTGGTAAGGGAAAAGCTACATTAATTTTTTTTCTATCTAGTTTTATTGCAAGTTTGGATACAGAGATCAAGAATGCATTTGAAAAACTGTTGGTTTCATGAAAGGTTGTGATATCAAAATAATTGGTTCAAAAAACTAAAAATGGTATTAGAATTTTAGAAGGTTCTAACAATGTCTGAACTAATATCATATTTTTGACTTTGATGGTTGATATCTATTGTTTCAAGGTATGGGTATGTGCAGCCAGATGATGTACATGTTCTCTTGGAGAAGCATATCATCAAAGGTGAGATTGTAGACCGGCTATGGAGGTAAGTTCAAATTCTGGGTCTCGCAGTTTCAAAATCACTTGGTATAAAGTAAAAACATTGTTAGTTTCTGATTTCTAGGGGTGAAATGGGTTTATCAGAAGAAGACCAGAAACAAACTCAAGAAAGACGTTTACAGGTAAACGGTGCTGGCCATACAGTTAAGAACAATGGGAAAGTCAATCAGGAATCATCAATTCACAGCGCCGATGTTTCCTGCTGCCAGTCAGGAGCTGCAGAATCTAATGGCTGTTGCCAACAAAATGGGAACAGCTCCTCCTGCTGTCAAGACGCAGATCTGATGTTGTCTCTGGAAACCTCGGAAGATAATCAACTTGAGAATGAGAACAGCACTGAGAAGCTTACACCTGGAAGAAAAACTGCGGAAAAGACTTTCTTCAGAATAAATAGTGTCAAAGGATCTTCAACACGTAAGGTTTGCGCTATACCAACATGGATAGAGAGCTGGGAGCGAGAAGATACCTATGCTGCTCTTGCTGTCGTTTGTGCTGCTGCTTCTGTGGTTGTTGCCTATACTTGCTACAAACAGTTATAATGAAGAAACTTGTAGCCTAAGATGATTGTGTATTGTGTTTTGTTTGAGCTTTTTGAACTACTTGCCCCCTTCGTTTCAAGAGGAGGGTGACGCTAGTACTGTTTGGTAATATGTATCCAGTTTTAACACTGTGCTTCCACTTCTCAAGATTGATCCTTTCTGTGTAAAGCTCTCCAGCTTTAGGCAAATTTGAGTTCAGATTTTATACAGCAAAGTTAGATGACAAGACTCTCCGAGTGATAAAAAAACATTCAGAAAATTCCAAAAATAGCATTTTGACAAAGAACTAAAAAACTCATGAAGTATTAAACTGAGTTGCACATTGTTGATAACGGTTTGATAATCAATTTGATAATCTAATGGCAGTTTTCTTACTGAAAAATCTCAAAAGAAATCAAAGTCCAGATAACTATTCTGATCAGACTTGACACTAGTAGATGTGGCTGCTGCAGGGGTAGCAGGAGCACTTCCAAATTCAACCGGCTTTGGTATCTCTGGAGGGCTTGCGCATCTAACCAATGCCCAGTTCACTCCTTCAAAGAAAGGATGTTGCTTAATCTCGGTTGCACCACGCTTATACGCTAACCTTTGCTGAGGCTCCTTCACAAGCAGACTCCTAATCAAATCCCTAGCAGCAAAGCTGACAACTGGAGATTCAGGGAAACGCAGAGGCTGACCAACAACGTTGAAGAGTGTCGCTCTGTTTCCAGACCCTTTAAACGGGGTTTTACCAAACAATAGCTCGTACAGAAAGATCCCAAAAGTCCACCAGTCAACCGCACTCCCATGTCCTTCACCTTTGATGATCTCAGGAGCTAAGTATTCATGTGTGCCAACAAATGACATTGAGCGAGCGCTGGTAGGCTCAGCGATGAGTTCAGGTAACGGAGTGACCTGGTTCCCAGTTTCGGTTTTTGCTTTCTTGTCCTTTTTATCTTTCTTGGATTTACTTGAGAAAAACCGTGGAGAAAAGCATGTTGTGGGAGCAGACATGCAAGATGGCTGTTGGATGCAAGCAGGTTGTGCACAGTTACCAGAGTTCCTTTGCAAGGCATCAGATACGAGAGTAGTTGATCTAACCACTGTGGGGCTAACGGTACACCTCAAGGAGAGGTCGAAGTCAGTAAGCATTACATGTCCATCATCTCTAACAAGAACATTCTCTGGCTTAAGATCACGGTATATGATCCCAAGCATGTGAAGATATTCCATTGCAAGTAGTACCTCCGCTACATAAAACCTGAAAAAAGGGTAAAAGACCAATGTGATTTAATACAAAAAAGTGGTTAACAGGATTCAAAAGTATAATCTTACTTTGCTGCTTGTTCCAAGAAACGTTTCCCGGGCTGTCTTTGTCGAAGGGTATGCAAGTCACCTCCAGGACAGAACTCCATAACCAAACATGAGAACTTCTCAGTCTCGAAATGACTATACAAAGTTGGGAGAAAAGGATGGTCAAGACACTGCAATATCTCCCTCTCGGTCTGAACCCTAAGAAGCTTTTTACGGCTAGCCAAAGCTCCTTTGTCCATAACCTTCATTGCAAAATAACACCTAGTTCCGTGCAGCTCAGCAAGGTGGACAGTTCCAATATCTCCACCCCCTACTCTCTTCAAGAGCCTAAAATGGTTTAAACCCAAACCACCATGTTTGGCTCGAACCACTTGTATTGCTTCCCATCTCACGTCATTCGCCTTGTGAGGCTTGTTGCTACTTAAACCGCTACATGTGCTCTCGTCACTGATATCACTGCTTGTGCTTGGTCTATATGTGTTACGCTTTCCGGTGGTCTCGGCAAGATCGGACTGCTCATTAAGTTTAAGTTCTCCACTTGATTTACTACCACAGCTTTGAGCAAAAGACAGAGTTGAAGATACTTGATCTGCCAGAGTGCTGACTGAGATACTTTGGCTGGAACTGGAAACAGATGATTCCGAGGTTTTCTCATCGGCCTTTTCTTTATTATGTCCTGAAAGAACTCCAAGACCAGACTTTGAGGCCATGAAGGGTTAACTATCTACCTAACACCAGTTATCAAAAAACTGCTCCTTGACTCCAGTTATAGTGACCTGAACTCTGCATTAAGCAAAACATAGTGTCTATTACTTTGCTTTAAAAGAACATGAAAGATTTAATTACTAATTAAAGAATTTCAGGTTTAGATATAAAACTACAATCATTGGATGATCAACAATCAAGGATCCAAATCTCATTTCTGTTTACTCGTAATAAAGAAACATACTTTTTTACCATACAGCTGAGCAGATAAGCTCATAAACGCTAAAAAGTTACTATTTATAATAACAGAAACTCATAGCTGAAGCCATGGTTCAATCATTACTAAAAGGATCAAGCGTTATCCATCAAAATACAAAATTAACACCGAGACTTAATAAAATTATAGTTTTCACATAAAAAACAGGTCAAAAGAAAGAAGCTTTAGCTCTACCGCGAAATAGATCTCGACCCCAAAATGACAGTGACAATCAATTCAGAAAATCACACATTTTGTCAATGAAAAGTAATTCACTATTTAGTATTTTCACATCAGTAAACACTTGAAACTCTCTGATTCACTAATGAAACTGAAAAATCATTAAACCATAACCAGACACTTCATGCAAAGTAGAATTAAATCCTAGATTTCAGACAGATCTCAGAAAAGTAATAACAACCAAAGCAAAGCTCTGTTGGATCTGGACAGAAACAAACAAACAAAAAACAAAGAAGGGCAATTAAGCAGAAAATACACACAAACCATTACCTTTTAAAAAAAAAAGCTTTAGGAGAGGAAGATCTTGATACAATATGTTCTCAGGTATTGAGTAGAGGAAGTAAGAAGAGGGCTTTCTTTAATCATGTATTTGCTAAAGAGAGATAGAAGAGAATGAGGAACTAACTCATCACCTTTCTTCCATGGCAATGAAATGAATAGAGAGAGATTTAAAGAGACATGATTCAGAGAGAGAGAGAGAGTGAGTGAAAAAGAGGAGTTGGGTCTACCATGTAAAGAGGTGGTGTGGTGTGGTGGGTCAAAGCAAAAGTTCTCCACTTTTTTTTTTTTTTAGGGCTTTTCAATTTCCCTTTTTTTTTTCTTTACTTTCTTTCCATGTTTGTATATTTCCCATAACTCGAAGTTATACACCCACCAAATGTTTCAACTTTCAAGAATGCTCATCTGCCTTGTTATTTGTTCATCAGATTTATTTCATTTCTTTGATCAAAATTATTAAATATATATAAAATATATGCAAAAATAAAATAAAATAAAATAAATGCTTATGCAAAAAAATGTATAAAGTTGCATGTTTCTGTTCTTAGTGTTGAATCGACATCAGTAATATACTATATCCATATGCCACAACTTCTATATATTTTTCAGACACAAGGTTTTGTAGGAATTGAGATTTACTCTTTGCTTTTAAAAGCTGTATGTTTTTGGCCTTTTGGGTCATGCAAAGGAATCTGTTTTCAATGTTCTTTATACGATTTTGGAATATCCATATGTAAAGTAGTCCATACATCAATTATACAATGATACCTTTTTCTCGATGTGTGTTTGTGATTGTGTACTACTGTGTGTACAGCAAGGATATTAATATATCTGCTGAAAATCTAACAGATAGTAACAAGAAGATTAGTTAAGAGAAGTAAATGTTAAAAGATCCCCAAAGAGAATCTGACAAAAGATGGATCATGAACTGAATTGATTGTCATGTTTCACTCACTAGTCCCACTTTAGAAAACCTTCACATCTCCCACCCTAAGAATCAACAGCTCACTGCCAATTCCCTCAATTCAATCGATTCTATCATGTATCCTTTATGTAGTGTAATGGACCCCATCGACCAAACTTTTTATGTGATACAAGAGTTGATATGATCAGAAAAATCCATAGACTGTGATGAACACTTTTGTGGTTGCCCTGTGACAAGTGGGGACTCATTTTGATTTTTTTCAACTCATTTATAATTCCACAATAAAAAACATACTAAGAACAGATCCACACAAAATATTCTTATGAGATTGATACAAAACTTTTGTTGGGCATGCATGCAACTTGTTCATGAAGGCCACAAGAGTGAGTGTCACTATTTCTGTCCCATGGTTTTAAGATGTCAAACTCAGTGGATAAATCAAACTACAAAGCCATTGTATACTGCAACAGATACCTTAACCTCATTGCTTCCATCACCACGACCAGAAACACCAACATGCATCAAGAATCTATCTTCTCCCAGACTCCTTAGTATTCTTTCTCATGACTTTTCTTTTATCTTCCCTGCAACATATTCAACTATTATATACATTTGATTCAACAATATATAGTAGAGGTTTTTTCTTTCTCCTTTACTTTTGCATCTGTAGAGAAAACGTTAGAAATATTTTACCTAGCTTGAGCAATTTCAGCCTTCCATTGTGATCTCTTCTTCTTTTGCTTCCTGGGTCCTTCCACACTAGCATTTTTGTTCTCGTTGCCTTTGTAGTTCGGCTCTGAGATTGGAATTCTTCGTTTGCTTTTGTCTACTTTAATGTCTTGCTTGGGTTTACCACTGGCTCCAGAAGGCTTCTTCAACTCCTCAATGGAGTCATCATCGTCATCACTAGACAATTGAGCTTGCTCTTTTGTTTCAACCAGCTCATTACCTGAAGCCTTCGTTTCATTGCTCATCTTCTTCAGCTGTAGGACGAAGAAAAGAGAGAACTACATTATCGATTTGAGCACTATGATATTTCATAAAACCTATATTCTTGCATCTTTTGCAGGGAAAAGCTATTCATAGGCTAAATCCAAGTGTATAATACCTTTGCCACAAAGAATCCGTCCATGTTGTGTACGTGAGGATAGAAACGTCTAGTTTTATCTAAAGAAGGATGGAATCGGTTTTCTCTATATCTGGTAAATCTGATGACATGAATTAAAACATTTGTGGTTAGACGAAAAATCATGAAACGTTATGCAGATGAAAATGTATATTACCCAGCTTGCCCAAAATCAAGTCCACATGGAACGAGTTTGACATCCCTCTTTTTTAAGGCATAATCGATCACAGCTTCGTTCTGCAAAATTTTGTTTTATAAATCAAAATACTGACAAAACATGAGGAAGCAAGAACAAAAACAGTGGAATAAAAACAATTACAGCAAACCAACCTCGGGGATCATAATGGAGCATGTTGAGTAAACAATATATCCACCGGTTTTGGATTCGGCGTCCACCAAATCGATCGCGGCAAGTATAAGTTGCTAGTGGAAAAAAAGAGAGAGAGGATGGTTAGCATTACAAGCCTCAGGCATCCTCACAGTAAATGAATGTTAAACAATTTTCATCATTAAAAAATCGTTCGGGAATGTAATAAAGAGAATAAAGTCCAAGCCATACCTTTTGCAAATCAGAAACTTTCCTTATGTCATTAGCACTTTTGGAAGTTTTAACTGATTCATCTTTTGATATAACCTGCATCGTGTAGAAGATGACATTAAAATTACGGAACTGGAGAAAAACTTAAGAGACTTTAAGAGGGCCGAAACGGAAAGATTCTTACTCCAGTTCCACTGCAAGGGGCATCCAACAATACTCTATCTACCGAGTTCTGACCGAAAACCTTGGGTAGCTGAGAGGAAAACAAAACGGTATAAACAAGAACTGAAATGGGAATATTAGAGAAGCTGTCCGTAAGGCTTAGTTCCCCAATTACAGTCTTCCCATTAACTTATCATTTGGTAGAGCTCATGCTTTACAACCGGTTCGCAGAGATTAATATCCCCACGTATGTATTATCGATATATGTATATAAGTTCAAGAAGCTAACCTCTCTTCCATCAAAGTTACAAACTATGGTATTCGTCACCCCCATGCGATGCAGATTGGCAGTAAGTGACTTAAGCCTAGGTACTTTCATCTCGTTTGCATATATTATGCCTGGTCACATTATCATTATAACATTAGGATAACCAAATAAAATTTAAAAATGGGGTTAAGAGGACGAAGAAACCAATGAATGCATACCAGTATTTTTCATTAGGGAAGCAACATAAGTTGTTTTACCACCAGGGGCAGCACTGCAGGCATACAGTAAAAAACCTTGTTATGTTATGTTTATCACACTAAACTAGTTGCATCTCCCACGTAATGAAGCATTCATATTGGTTAGTCCGTTTTAATAGCACTTTGTCTCACAGCATAAAAAATCACAGACATGCACTTGAAAATCAACTCAAGGTACAACTTAAACAGCACAGGTATTAGGTAGGATAAACTTACGCCATATCCACAACGCGCTCATTCTCCCGAGGAGCAAGAGCCATCACTGGCAAGAATGAACTAGCACTTTGCAACTGCATATGCACCATGAATATAAGAACACAAGTACTGAATACCCATAAAGTGTGAGCTGAAAGTACAAAAATGATTAAGAAATCACGTACCATATAGAAACCAGCCAAATATTCAGGAGTTGCACCAATTGGAACTTGTGAATCATAAACGACAAGTCCAACCTACAATTTTTTTAGGACAGGACTAATTACATATAATCCACAAAATGAGATATGCCAGGCAATCTTTTAACACAACTTACTTTTGACCACTTGCTTAATGGGTCTAGATTAACACCTCTGTTCAAAAGTACATCAGCCAAATCCCGTCTCCGAGTCTAGACAAAACAAACATCACCATATAATTACACCTTGAGAACATTTACTTCGAGACACTCAAGATAATAAAGTCACAACCAAATTCACCTTGAGAGTGTTGGTACGTATAGAAGTAGGCCTTTGCTTTTCAAAAGCTTCGATTAGTTCCATGAGTTCAACAGGAGGAAACATCTGCCATATTATCCCAATTTAAGTATCAAAATTAGCTCACACATAGCTTTAGACCAAAGAGAACTAAAGTCAGAGATTAGCAAAATAACCTCAACCAGAGTCCCAATAAGAAACTCATTATAGCCGTAATAAGAAGCAAGATCAGCCTTAAGCTGTTCAACAAACTCCTTCCTCTTCACTCCCTCTGGCCTCAAATCCTTAAAATTCGACAGTACTCTAACAACTGAACACACACATAACTAACATCAAGCTCTGATTCCTTAGGATAACGCCTACACCACTAAAATTCAAAAATGCGTTACTCACTCTCTTTTATCCTAGTTTGCAAGGTAGGAAGATCTGGTGGCCCACTCGCCTCTTCTTCAAGTTCCTGAACAATGTCGAATAATAAACAATGATAAAGATACCTAAAATCCAAAGACTCCAACAAACAACAACTAACAATCGCAAAATAAAAATGTTTAAAAAAGGAATGAAATTTGAATTGTAAAATAACAAAAGAGTTTACCTTTTTGGTTGGTAACCGAAACTCATCAGGTTGTTCCTTAATATTCATCTGCAACTCATCTTTTGCATCTCGTTCCTCCCTTTTACGTTCTTCATCAATAGCTTTACTTTCCTTCTCGAGATCAGATCCATCAGAGTCAGAATCAGACCCCAAAGTTCCCTCTTCATCTTCGCTACCATCGAGAAAGTCGTCAGCCAAGGGCTCTTTATCCTCCTCCTCACTATCATCATCTTCTTCTTTTTCTTCTCCGTCACCATCTGAGAAAAAGTCAGAACCCAATTCATCAGACTGTTCACTCACTTCTTCTTCTTCTTTCTCCTCCTCGTCCGTAGAAACCTCAGGCTTCTCTTCCGAAATTACTTTCCTCTGTTTCTTCAATGGAGGCTTATGGGATTTGGCTGCCTTCTTCGGTGGAGGCGTGATATTCGACTTTGTACGCTTACTCAGTGGAGGAGTCTGCGACTTGGCTCCCTTCTTCTTGTTACGCGTAAGAGCTCCAGCAGCCATTGGGAGCGGTTTTCACGACTTTGGGTTTATTGCGGCGAAGGTTTTTATCAGAGTTTCTGTAAGGAGAAGAGCTTTGCTCAAAAAAGACAGGGTTTAAAGAAAGCTGTTTAATGGGCTTATTTGTATGAATTAAACTCTTAATGGGCCGTAGTTAAGAGTTATTACTTGTTAGCCCATTAATGTCTTAACGGATAGTGTAGCGTTTATGTTAATGTGACGACTCTTGGCTACTTTTCATTCATACGTTTATGCATTAGCCAAATTAATTTTATTTAGTTTTGAAAATTAAAGCTTATTAGTTGGTGTAGAGTTTGGCATGATTCGTGTTTTTCCCAAGTAATAGACTTCTCACAACAGAGTCATTATGCATGCTCCGTCTTTGCGGCGTTACCTAAGCTCATCTGTGTGTTGATAATGAAACTAAATTTACTTAATTTTAACAGAGTCATTTATGCTTGCATGCTCCGTCGTTACGGCGTTACAAATGACAACACGGATTTTATTCTGGTGAATTCTAAAAATAGTTCGATAATGGATTCAACAATATTCTATTAGGAATTCGAATTATATATGATTTTGCAGGTTATCTAATTATCCATCTATACAAACTTAGTATCACAGACGTTGACGTGAAACCGATTGAATAAGACAGTGTCAGTGTGGCTACGGAACAGAAAGTTGAGTACAAGTGGAACGTAAGAAGAATGCGTTTCATATTGCATAACCGATATATTATGGATATAAAATACTGGAAATCAAACAAAATTCAACGATACAGATGTGGCTAGCTAGGAAAGTTGAGCACTTAAATTTAATACGCTAGAATGTATAAATCTCAGCGACATCGAGCCAACTACTAAATTAGGTTATAGTATCTTTTTTTTTTGGCATGGAGGTTTTAGTATCAATCTATGTTCTGTTTAGTTGATTCTAAAGTAGTATAAAAGAGAAAGAACACAAGCTGACGCGCGTACTATGGACCACAGAGTCTGAGTCAGCTTTGGGGATGGATCGAAGCGGTGCCATTGAACCTAAATAGCTAAACCGAGTTATGTCGTGTACTATTCTTTAGTCAATGCTAAGTTTTTTTTTGTTTTTCAGCTGCTGTAAATGTGCGCCAATTAAAACTGCAAACTCTTACGGTCTTACCTCACAACAATTGTCATCTTCCATTTTATTTTTATTTTTGCTTACTCTATTTACTATTGGAATGCTCAATTTCATTTTGTAATTTACTGTCTATCCCAATTTTCTACGTTGTTCTATCTTTGAAGCAAGGGTTTCTTTTATTAGTGAATGCTATATTAAGTATCTTAATTCTTTTGGTTAAGGTATCCTGTTTGGTTGAGATACCGATTTGTAGAATCTGCTACCTTTATACTCCACGTAAAGATTTCACTTTCTAGCACGAAGTTGAAACATTTGTTTCTTTTCACTGAAACAGCCTTAGATTCAACGAACCAAGATACTTCGATTTTTAAAGTGTATATAACTATGTTCATCTAGAAATAAAAACTGCGTACGTCTTCACTCTACACATTAGAGAACAAACAAAATACTCTCAAACTTGTTCTCTATATTACTATATCCTCTTCATAGTAGTATCTTTCAAAAATAGTATCTTCTAATGTCAAGTCATTAAACACAGGTTAGTTTGCAAGAAAAATTTCCGGCGACTTATCAAGGACTCCGATCATCCTCACGGACTCCGGCAATTTCTTGAAGGAGAAGATATCAAAATGGTCAGCTCTCTCGAGGTCGCAGGACCTGAATCCAAGCCCTTGGAGCAGAAGTTTGAGTCCAACATCGTCATAGACGGTAAATAAAATTCGGTTCTGTTTTGACCAATCTTGGTTCGGTTCGGTTTATTCTTGTTTGCATCCCAATCCTATCAAACTTGGTTGGTTCTCTATTTATAAACCGATTTGGTCCGGTCTATGTTTTTTGGCGGTACAGGTGAACAAAGCGAGGAAGAAAACGATAGTCCAATAGAAGAAGTGCGGTTAACCGTACCGATAACCGACGATCCATCTCAACCGGTCTTGACATTCCGTACATGGTTCCTAGGAATAATCTCGTGCATGGTACTCGCGTTCGTTAACCAGTTTTTTGGTTACCGGTCGAACCAGCTCATGGTATCTTCAGTCGTGGCTCAGATCGTTACTCTCCCAGTAGGAAAGCTCATGGCCACGACTCTACCGACGAGGAAGTTCCGGTTACCCGGTACAAACTGGTCCGGTTCGTTGAATCCTGGACCATTCAACATGAAGGAACATGTGTTGATCACTATCTTCGCTAGTACCGGAGCTGGAGGAGCTTATGCGACTAGCATCATTACCATCGTTAAAGCATTTTATCATCGGAATCTTAATCCCACTGCCGCCATGTTGCTTCTACAAACCACTCAGGTATACAACATGATTCAAAGATTATACTCCTTCCGTTTCATTTTAATTGTCATTATATGTTTTTGCACAAATTAAGAAAATATTTAATTTTACATATTTTTAAGAAAAAAACACAATTACCTATACACCTAACCACCTTTCAACCAATAGAAAAATAGAATATCATATAAAACTAATAAATTTTGTCTCAAACTTGAAAACAACACTTATTTTATAAAATTTCTCCAGATTGACAATTAATTCGACACAGAAGGAGTATTATTGTATAACTTATTTAATTTTATTTATTAATTGTTTTATAACTCGTGTTTTTAATATATTTAGGTTTTGTTTGTGTGTTTTATAAAATTAGTTGTTGGGATATGGATGGGCTGGTATGTTCAGGAAGTTCCTGGTGGACTCACCCTACATGTGGTGGCCTTCAAATCTTGTTCAAGTGTCTCTCTTTAGGTTTGTTTTTTCAACATCCCATAATACAATTTTTGTTTTAGTAATCTATAACCTTTGTTTTGTTTATTTATTTAGAGCATTGCATGAGAAGGAGGAGAAGTGTGAAGGCAAACAAACAAGGCTAAGATTCTTCCTAATAGTCTTCTTCGTGAGCTTCGCTTACTACATAGTCCCTGGCTACATGTTCCCTTCCATATCATCCCTCTCCTTCGTCTGCTGGATATGGACACGCTCTGTCACAGCTCAACAGATAGGTTCAGGGCTTCACGGTCTCGGCATTGGCTCGTTTGGTCTCGACTGGTCCACGGTCGCAGGCTTCTTAGGTAGTCCTTTAGCAGTACCGTTCTTCGCTATAGCAAATTTCTTTGGAGGTTTCATCGTCTACTTCTATATTATCCTTCCTATCTTCTATTGGACCAACGCTTATGAAGCAAAGAAGTTCCCTTTCTATACCTCTCAGACATTTGATCATACCGGTCAGCAATTCAACACCACTCGGATCCTTAACCAGAAAACGTTTGATATCAATCTTCCCGCTTATGAAAGCTATAGCAAGCTTTATCTTAGTGTTATGTTTGCTCTCATCTATGGACTCAGCTTTGGTACTCTTACCGCTACCATTTCTCACGTTGCTCTCTTTGATGGAAAGTAAGTACTCTCCATCTCAAACTATAAGCAGGGTAGGTCTTGAGTATAGGCTAGTGAAATATTGGTTTACGACCTCCAAAATTTTATGAAAAGTTTACATATATAAACTCCCAAATTTATTATTTTTTATATATACCCTTCTTAAATAATTTACAACTCCAAAATCTCTGTGCCGGACCTGAGATATTTTGGGTCCAATACGAATTAAAAATATGGGACTTAAATGCTAGATAAAAAAAGTATTTTACTATATTAAAATTAATTTTTTTAAAAAATAATATGAAGACTAATAAAAGTCTATCAGTTCTAAAAGGTATCTTTGTATTTTTAATATAAAAATGAAGAAAATTAATTCAATTTTTTTATTTTGTTATATTTTTGAAAAAGATTTTAGGGTTTATTTTATATTTTTTATGCTAATTAATAACAAAAACAGTAAAAAAATAGGCCCTTAATAACTGTAAAAATTGTAGGCCTCATACCATTGTTTCTTGAGTATAGGTTCAGGCCCCTCACTGACTATAAGATCAGTTGATTCCATGTAAAATCTCTCGTTGTTGTTTAAGGTTTATATGGGGGATGTGGAAGAAGGCGACATTAACAACAAAGGACAAGTTTGGAGATGTGCATACAAGACTAATGAAGAAGAACTATAAAGAAGTACCACAATGGTGGTTTGTTTCGGTTCTCATTGTCTCCTTTGCGCTAGCTATTTACGCGTGTGAAGGATTCGGCAAACAGCTTCAGCTTCCATGGTGGGGACTACTACTCGCTTGTGCCATCGCCTTTACATTCACTTTACCTATCGGAGTTATCTTAGCCACTACAAACCAGCAGATGGGTCTTAACGTTATCACAGAACTGATCATTGGGTACTTGTACCCAGGGAAGCCACTTGCTAACGTAGCTTTCAAGACTTACGGTTACATGAGTATGTCCCAAGCCTTGTACTTTGTAGGAGACTTCAAGCTTGGCCATTACATGAAGATACCACCAAGATCTATGTTTCTTGTTCAGCTTGTTGCGACATTGGTTTCTTCAACTGTCTGCTTTGGGACAACATGGTGGCTGCTTTCTTCAATAGAGAACATTTGTAATAAAGATAAGCTCCCAATAAGTAGCCCATGGACTTGCCCTGGGGACGAAGTGTTCTACAACGCGTCGATCATATGGGGAATCATTGGCCCTGGAAGGATGTTCACTAGTAAAGGCGTTTACCCTGGGATGAACTGGTTCTTCCTCATAGGTTTGCTTGCTCCTGTCCCGGTCTGGTTCTTTGCTAGGAAGTTCCCGGAGAAGAAGTGGATAAAGAAGATTCATATTCCTTTGATATTTTCAGCGACTACAGCGATGCCAGTGGCTAAGGCTGTGCATTACTGGTCGTGGGGTTTTGTTGGGGTTGTGTTTAACTACTATATCTTTAGGAGGTACAAGGCGTGGTGGGCAAGGCATAACTATATCCTCTCTGCAGCTCTTGATGCAGGGACTGCGATCATGGGAGTGTTGATCTATTTTGCGTTACAGAACAACCACATAAATTTTCCTGATTGGTGGGGGAGTGAGAACACAGATCATTGTCCTTTAGCGGCTTGTCCTACGGAGAAAGGGATTGTCATTAAAGGCTGCCCTGTGTTCTAAAGAGAGATGCTAAGAAGTTTCTTAGATGGGCAGGTGAGTGAGGGTTTAAGATGTTAAGAAACGCAAACAATGTAAACAGTTGATTTAGAATATGTTTCTCAAGAAGTAAGCGACTCAGGAGTCAAGATTTTTAACCATGAAATCTTGCAAGTTCATATTTCATTTTGAAATCTTCCAAAAAAAAATCAGGACAGTTATGACAGATGAGAAGGTAGAATCAGTAGGATGAGCAAAATCTTTAGAACAATTATGATAGATGATAAGGTCGAATCAACATTTAGTTTGATCTGGAATATTTTTTTCTTGTTTTGGATGGATTTACCTTCTTGATTTTCGCTTAAAATTTAATTATAAATAAGTACTTGTCATGAAAAAAACAAATGTGTTTTGATGTTCTAATCAAAAACTATTTGCCTTCGCATTGAGGGAGAGAGGGAAGAAGAAAAAACGAGAAACGGTTGAAAGCAGCGGTTGCTGTCGAAGTATTGCTTCAAAGGCAAAAACTCAGGTTGTTAGGTTTTATAGACAAAACGGTTATCATCTCCCTCTCTCTCTGCGTCTGTTTCTTCAATCCTAAGCAAAAATCCATTTCTTTGGTTGCTCCTTCGTTGCCATCACAACGCCTAACTTCATCTTCTCTGACATAATCAGTACACCATCCACTCCTTCCTCTTCTTCATTTTTTTATCTGTCTTTTCTCATACTTTCTTGTGTCTTATATAGTCTTTTGGCATTTCCTCTGTTCCGCTCTGTTCCTCTCTGTTTTACATGTACAGTTTAATAGTTTTTTTTTACTAGCTCCAGCTTGAGGCAGTACTGATGTAATTTTTTTATTTTGTTCATCATTCTCAGGTCCTAAGAGGGATCACAAATCAAACTCTCTAACCCTTGCCTTGAAAATTTTCAATATGAGTACACGTTATTCAACTCAGCTACAATCCTCAGCCATTACATCCATTACCGTCTCCTCTTCTTCTTCCTTAGACATCACTCCACGTGATGATGATGATGATGATAACAGTCACATAGCATCAGCTTCCAACACTCGAGAGAACTCTCCAACGTCCTTCTTGATAAGACTTGCAATGAGAGTATCCAGAGCAAAGTGGTTCATTTTCTTGAGAAGAGTGTTTCATTACCAAAACGGTTCAAGATCAGATCTTGGCGCCAACCCTTTTGAGTCAACCACTTGGATGATATCAGAGCTCATCGCTTTACTTGTACAGATCACTGTGATCACATTCACATTAGCTTTGTCCAACAACGAGCGGCCTATTTGGCCCGTGAGGCTCTGGATCACAGGGTACAACGTCGGATGTCTCCTCAGTCTGATGCTATTATACGGACGGTACCGTCAGCAAGACGTTAATGGGTTTAGCTTTGGTGATATTGAGCAGCAGCAACAGAGAAGCAGAGAAGAGACCAGGTGCTCGCATTTGATGAACAGATGCAGGACGTTGCTGGAACTGTTCTTTGCGATATGGTTTGTGATTGGAAATGTATGGGTGTTTGATTCTCGGTTTGGTTCTTTCCACTATGCTCCAAGCCTTCATGTTCTCTGCATCTCTCTTCTCGCTTGGAACGCTCTCTGCTACTCCTTCCCGTTTCTTCTCTTCCTCCTGCTATGTTGTGTGGTGCCTCTCATAAGTAGCTTCCTTGGCTACAACATGAACATTGGATCCTCCGAGAAAGGAGCTTCAGATGACCAAATCTCAAGTCTCCCAAGTTGGAAGTACAAACTCATTGACGAAACTTCTGATTCTGATTCTTCTCACGCAAGCAATGATCCGGTAAGCTCTTAACCTGATGTAACATCAGAGCTCTTTTTTTTTAGGTTAATGTGATGGAACTTGTGTGCAGGAGTGTTGTATATGTTTGGCGAAGTATAAAGATAAAGAAGAAGTGAGAAAGCTACCATGTTCGCATAGATTTCATGTAAAATGCGTAGATCAATGGCTTCGTATTATCTCTTCTTGTCCTCTCTGCAAACAAGATCTCTCCAACTAAACGAGTCAGAAAATTGATTGAAGAATCTCCGAGAGCAAGTTCCATACCTTTGTTGTTCTTTTGTTTACGTGTTTCTTGTCTTTTATGTTGTCGTCCACACGGACCACACCGTGTTACTTGTGTGAGTGTTCATTTTCTTTGCTCACCAGGAAACCATACATATGAATAAATAAGATTGAAGATAATGATCAAATGTGTTTGTTTACGGCTCCACACTGGACGACGTGTGAAAGTGAATGTAAACAACAACAATAATACGCTGTTTTTTATCAACATCCAGTAAATTTTTATTTGTTTGTATTTTTTAATTATTAAAGTGTTTTTTTTTTAATTTCTTTTGTCGGAATATTTTGGTTTTGTATATGTACAATTTTTTTTTTCTGCAAACAGAAAAATTGTGTCTCCCTTTCTCTCATTTAACAATAAGAGTTGTTTGTTTTGTTGGGCGTGTTTATCGTAACCATCTTCAGCTTCAACCGCCGGAGCCGCCGTAAGGAAGGCTTATTCATCGGCCGTGACGTAGGGTAAAGCTTTTTCTCTTCTCCCTTGTCTCGCGGTGTGTCGATCTATTACTCTTAAATCTCGTCTGTTTCCCGGGAAAATCGCGATGTGAAACAAAAAAAAAAGTTGAAGTTGAGATTCAGATTGAGAATTCGTATTCGATGGATTTTCAGATAGATCCATGTGCCGTTTCTCTGAGTTTTTGTATATGAATCCGAAAACTTGGAGTCTAACGGAATTCAGATACAAAACCTTGACCTGGATCGCGTTTTGCTCATTTGTGTCGTTGTTTGTTCACTTTCTATGTTTTCATTACACAACCAGATTCAGGATTAGTTCTTTTTGAAAGATCGAATTCCTCTGGATAGGTTTTTAACTCCTCTGTTTTATCATAGTTTCTGAGCTCTTGTTTTCTTAGATTTGAGTTTGGGTTCTTGCCTGAATCATGTTTTTTCCAAGCATATGATGTTATAAAATACAAGAGTAATCCACTTGAGATTAAGCAAAAAGTTGAGATCTTTTAGGACATAGCTTTTTTTCTTTTTCCGTTTGTGTTACACATAGGCAAACTATCTGTTAGCCTTTGTTTTTTTTAACTTCAGATCTGAAATGGTGAATCTTGTTTGCTCTTGTGAAACTGTCGGTCTGATGAGCTAAAAGTTAATATGACTACATTCCAATTTTCATATTAATGACTACATTACAATTCATTCCCGTTCCATGGCAGATATTTTTGTGGTCTATAAAGTGTCGCCTTTCTTGACTTTCATACGGATTAGGAAATGGTTAAAAGGTACATCTCTTGTTTTTTTTTTTTTGCATGTATTTACTTTCTTCCAAGTTCTTTGGAAAGTTCTTATGTTGTTGTTGTTTAACAGGCATGGAGAGTTTTGATTTACTAGAGGTATCATGACACAGTGCGTAGACGGGTTTAAGCATGTATGCAACTCTTTGTTGCGCTGTTTTGATATTGATATAGGCAAATCTTCTGGAGACCCTGAACTACTTGCCAGAGACACTGTTTGTAATGCTCTCATCTCTTTCACATGCACTTTTTTCAGTTTTAATGATTCAAAAGGCACGCCATTTATTTCTCTGGTTTGTTTGAACCTTTCTTCCCTATTTTGAAAATGAATCGTTTTGGGGTGCAGTTAGCGTGAGTGAAATAGAGGCTCTCTATGAGCTGTTTAAGAAAATCAGCAGTGCTGTAATTGATGATGGGCTGATAAACAAGGTATGCATGAGTTATGTGTCTTTCTTTGCCCCCACACACCCGTATTACTACCTCTTTTGTACAGTCTTTCTGATCTTCCTTCTTGTGTCCTGTTGTGCAACAGGAAGAGTTTCAACTGGCCTTATTCAAGACAAATAAAAAAGAGAGCTTGTTTGCAGACCGGGTATGTTTTTTTTTCTTTCTTTCACCAAAAAGTGTGTGTAATCCATTGAAAGCTATGTCTGACATCCCCAATCACACAGGTATTCGATTTGTTTGACACAAAACATAATGGGATACTGGGGTTTGAGGAGTTTGCTCGTGCTCTCTCCGTTTTTCATCCAAATGCTCCTATAGATGACAAGATTGACTGTACGTCTCTGACCTCTAAATTTGATGTGGAAAACCATTCACATATGCTCTACCGTTACCTGAAATATTCTTTATGCAGTTTCGTTTCAGCTGTATGATCTTAAGCAGCAGGGTTTCATCGAAAGGCAGGAGGTAAAGCTCTGCGCAATAGCCTCACCAAATCCCTAAAGATCTTGTGTGCCCTTAACATTCCCACCAACTTTCATATTTTTGTTTAGGTGAAGCAAATGGTGGTAGCTACTCTTGCTGAGTCAGGCATGAACCTGTCAGACGAAGTCATTGAGAGTATTATTGACAAGGTGTGCTTTCCTTTCTTTATACTATTTTTCTGGTACTACTGTATAGCATAGCCAACTCTTGTAAGCTGTTAAGAATGAAGTAAATAGCGATCTCTTCGTTTCCTTGGCAGACATTTGAGGAAGCTGATACGAAACACGACGGGAGGATCGATAAAGAAGAGTGGAGGATCCTTGTTCTTAGGCACCCTTCTCTTCTGAAAAACATGACTCTTCAGTATCTCAAGTGAGTTCCTAAAAAAGACTAACCAGAGGTTTAGCCAATTCATTCTTATTAAAACTCATCTCTTACTATGTTGCGTGCAGGGATATCACGACTACGTTTCCGAGCTTTGTGTTTCATTCGCAGGTGGAAGATACCTGAGAAAAACATTTCTAGAGCAGACTGTTTGGCAAGTGTGTTTGTGTTTCTGAGTGTATCATCTTTATTTGTTTCAGTCTGAACTCCAGTTTCCAAGAGTTTGATGTTTCTTCTGTGAAAAAAAAAACAAAAAGAGAAAACTAAGTTGTATTTTTTGCTGTTCCTGGTTTTGTTTATATTTTCTCATGAGCAACTGTAGATATACTACAAACTTATTGCCCATGGCAAAGGTTATATGATTGACTATTAGCACTTTTTAGAGTTAATAAATATATCATATATATGTTTCTTTTCATAGGTGTTTGTTTCCGTTTTAAAGCTTTCCATTGTTTATTATTAAGTCGGTCGTCTATGATCTGTTACAAAGACTTGTTCGAAAGTTATTTCGATCATCTTCCTTTGGTCTTTTGTTTATATTTAAGTCGATAGCTTATGGTCTTTAACAAAGGACTTGTTCACAATATTACGATAAAAAACAGAGGGTTTCATCCTCAACCTTCTTTCTCATCTCATTTCAAGCTCTTGGTCAATCTGCCTCCTCTTTCTTGTCCTTGTGCAACAAACCAACCGTGCCTCGAATCTCGATGGAAGCGAAAGAAGCATCACCACCTAACACTGTTGTCTCGACTCGAACTCAGCCCATTACTGAGCCTGAAACAATAATCCGACCTGAAGAACAATCAGGAACAGTGGAACAGAATCTCTCAAAGCTACTTGCTAGAGATACAGTTTGTAATGCTCTCACTTTCTTTCCATATTATCTCTAGTTTGTGTGCTAATGAATATTTCTTTCCATATGCACTGTTGATGATAATGAACCGTTTCTTTCTGAGTGCAGTTAGCGTGGGTGAAATAGAGGCTCTCTATGAGCTGTTTAAAAAATTCAGCAGTGCTGTGACTAATGATGGGCTAACAAACAAGGTATGTGTCTTTCTTTGCCCCCCACACGCATATTACAACTTCATTTTCGACAGTCTTTCTGAGTTTCCTTCTTTGTCTCCAATCAGGAAGGGTTTCAACTGACCTTCACGTCAGATAAAAGAAATAGCTGGTTTGCAGGCCGGGTAATGTTCTTTCTGTCTTCACCAAAAAAAATTGTTGTTTATCCATTTGCCAAGAAGATATATATGTCACACAGGTATTCGATTTGTTGGACACAAAGCACAATGGAATAATGGGGTTTGAGGAGTTTGCTCGTGCTCTCTCCGTCTTTCATCCAAAGGCTCCTATTGATGACAAGATTGACTGTACGTACCATCGAATATAAACAAGTTACTCCATATTCACATATGCTATTTTTTATATAATCCATGAAAGTTCGTTTGTATCTTTACCTGGACTGTTAATTTTTGCAGTTTCGTTTCAGCTGTATGATCTTAAGGAGCAAGGTTTCATCGACAGGCAGCTGGTAAAGCTCTGCTCACAAAAACCCTAAAGATGTCTTGTGTGCTTAACATTCCCACCAACTTTACAGGTGAAGCAAATGGTGGCGGCTACTCTTGCTGACTGGTCAGGCATGATGCTCTCAGACCAAGTCATAGAGGGTGTAGTCGACAAGGTGTGTGTGCTTTTCCTTCCTTTCCTTTGATACTATTTTCTTCTTGTTATACTGTATCAAAGCACAACTGTTGTAACCTGTTGAGAAAGAAGTAAATAGGTTGGTTGATCTCTGAGTTTCCGTGGCAGACATTTGAGGAAGCTGATACGAAACATAAGGGGAGGATCGATAAGGAAGAGTGGAGGACCATTGTTCTTACGCATCCTTCGCTTCTGAAGAACATGACTCTTCAGTATCTCAAGTGAGTTGGGGTTTAGCTAAATCCTTTCTTAAGGCACATTATTATTTAAAACCAACCTCTCTCTCTCTCTCTCTCTCTCTCTCTCTCTCTCGCATATTGCGTGCAGGGATATCACGACTACTAGCTTTGTGTTTCATTCGCAGGTTGAAGATGCCTAGGAAAAGCATTATTTCTAGAGCCAAGAAAATTTGGAAGTTGTGTGTTGCGTGTTTCAGAGTTTATTTGTTTCAAAAGTGTACATGTTGTTTCTTCTCTCAAGGAAAATAATTTTAAGTTTGTACTACAAATTGATTGACCACGTCAAGTCAAGGGTTATATGTGACACGATTTCAAAGTTTCCTTTTATATCAAGTAGAATTTTCTCACCATAATTTTGTTTTCTTACTTCCTTGTTCACCTGTCATCTATCCATCAATGGCAAATGCATTTCTTAATTAACACGGTTCTTGCGAATAACCTTAAGAGCATGATTAACCCCGGGTTCTTAAGACGGGGTTCTTATCGGAAACTAAGAAACAGTTTTGGTCTAAGGATATTTTTCTGCTGCAGAGTCAACAATTCCTTTATTAACACATCCAGGGTTTAGGGTATTCATTCATGGATGATCTCTACACACACATCGGACGTAAAGCTTGGCTTATTTTCTGTGTCAAAGATGTGAACTGGAGCGAGCCATCTTGGGAACAAACCGAACACAGCCTTGAACACAGCCTTGAACTCTCATCAGTGTATTAAAAAAATTATAAGACAGAGAACGACGTCGTTTTAACTAAATCACTCACACCGGTTTGATTGTACTTACTTACAAAAACCGGTTCAGTTAATTTTACTGAAACCTTGAAAAAACGCTTCACGAGAATCTCCGATCGGCTGCGTTCTGGTGGATACACTCTCAAACTATTTTTTGATTTTGAAAGCTGAGAGGAAGATGTCACAAGGATGGTTTTCGATGAGTAGCGGAGATCAGCAGCAGCAGCAGAATCAGTCGGGATCGTCTCTGCTCGCGGATTGGAATTCATACGCAGCCTCTCGAGATGTCGAAGAAGGTGGCGGAAGCTTCGGGTTTGATATCGAATCAGCCGTTAGATCTGCCAACGACACCGTTTCGGGTACCTTCAGTGTGTAAGTTCTCAAAAGCTTTGAGGATTTTGGTGCTAGTTAGAATCTGAGCAATTGAGATTTTATTTAACGATGCGTTTCTTTGAGGCATTGCATACCAATGGGTCTTATAGTTATAGTTTAGCTTTGGAGAAGCTGTTTTAGGAACAGTGTGTTCATTAGATTACATACAACATATTCATCGCTCCAACGATTATATATTATCAATAGATCTGTAGTGCAGAGTTTTTTTTTTTTTCCTCACAAATTGCTCTTCCTTGTTTGATTTTGTAAAATTGTAAATGTATTTGATGGCTATAGGGTTTCAAAGGGAGTTAGAGATATTCCGGGGAGCTTGTCGTCAGCAACCAGTAGTATGCCTTCAGGGAAATCCCTCATGTATTTCGGTTTACTTCTTGCAAGTGGTGTATTCTTCATCTTCATTGCCTTCACTATGTTTCTTCCCGTCATGGTGCTTATGCCTCAGAAGTTCGCTATTTGTTTCACCCTTGGATGTGGGTTTATTATTGGATCATTCTTCGCTCTTCGTGGCCCACAGAATCAGTTTGCACACATGACTTCCATGGAGGTATACTCTATATTTGTTATATAGTATCTCAAGCCTTGAAGCCCCAAAAAAAAATAGTGATTTTTATTTCCACTCTTTCTAATTCTTCTTGTCTACTTCTCCAGAGACTTCCTTTAACCATAGGTTTCATTGCTACCATGGTTGGTACCATATACGTATCTATGGTTCTCCACAGCTACATTCTCTCCGTGCTCTTCTCTGTCTTACAGGTACTACTTTCATCAAAGTATGTAAGATCATATAGTAACTCCCCTCATTGCTAAAATCTCCCCGTTTTAGCAGCTAACATTAAGCTCTCTCGAGACTAGAACGAGTGGTGTTTGCTTATACACCGGTTATCGATTTGGACTGTAGAAAAAAAAAGATGTTTGTATCGGTTTTAAGAACTTGTGCCTGCAAAATCCTCGTGTTCTACTGAATCTCATTGATTTCGGGTGTCTGTTTCTTTGTGCTAATGAACAGGTTCTTGCGTTGATTTACTACTGTATATCATACTTCCCTGGTGGATCATCAGGCATGAAGTTCCTTGGTTCTGCTCTTACCTCCTCTGTTCTAAGAGTTTTTGGGAGATGAGCTTTCACAGTCAACGTGGGTGAAAGATCAAAACTCTACATCTCTGGTGTATAAAGAAAGATGTCAGAGCTCTTTTCATGTTCTAATTAACATAGATTTGCTGAAAAATGTTCGAAACACAAATTGTCTTGAAAGATGTTGAAGGAAGAACCCAAGGGATGATCAGATATATGATGTTTATTTTGTTGTTGCCAAAGTATTTAGACATCCCACCTTCCCCGTTAAGATCAAGTGATCACATATTCAGTAAGGATTTTGTTGGTTGTTTGTGAATGCTGAGCAGATAAACGCGTTCCAAATTTGGTTGGGCACATTAAAGCCCAAGAGTATATTATTTGGCCCTTTACGTGGTCAAAATCAATGAGTATACAACCATCTTTGGTCAAGGAAATTTTTTGGCTATGATGCATAGTACTTATTGGTATTTGACTATTTTGTGGCGTTTTGTTTAAATTTACTACAATTTTATCGAACTATTTATACTTTTAGATTTCTAATTGTTTACTTCTTTAAACAGCCTATTAACTAAGGGTTCATTAATGCTTCTACACTCGGAGGTCTGGGGTTCAAACCCCAAAAAAAACAAATTATGCAAATTATGGAGAAACAAGTTACAAGAGATTTTCAGCTTGGTGCAGGGCGTACCATTGAACATGGATCTCATAGGACGGCTCGGAGTGATGCAGTCAGGCGTGGATTCTCACAAGATGGTAGAATTGTCGGCTGTAAAATCGTCTATGTAATATTTTCATCGTTGTAATAGCATAATTAATCAGACGTTAAAAAAAAAACAGCCCATTAAAATACCTCTTTCGAGAAATCAAAGTCTCATATTGACTTTATCTTCTTCACTCGAAAATGAGAAAGATGAAATCAATTTGAAGTTATTGTTCTCGAAAAAAATATTGTAAGCGTTTTTAAAAACAAAACGACATTGTTCGATTAATATCTAATCATTTTTTTTGAAACAACTTCGTTTAAAGAGTTAACATGCATTTATTTTCAATTAAATTTAATAATGACTATTTAGATTCTTAAGTGGCCGAATCAACAAAATATAAGAATTAAAACGACAAATATTAAAAGTTTTATTGAATTTAATTTGAAAGTTCAAGATTTTAGTATTTTAGTGGTTGTTTTCACCAATTTTTTTGCAAAATATCAAAAAAGATGTTAGCACAAAACAATATTTATATTTGAAATAGTTAGGCCGAGAAGTCTTATGCCATCAATCAAAATCATAGTGGTAAAAAAAAAATAATAATAATTCTTGATCTATTTGTTTATTGGAGGTATAATGTTCAGTGAGCGGGAAACCCAATTCCTGAAAATACGGAAACAATCGCAAGAACATTTGACCTCTAATCTACACCTTACATACACGTATTAGAAAACTCGCAATGCTATTGTTTACTACTCCACTTTGATATTTGTAATGTAAACATCAATGGCCCTCGAATTTCATTAAACTAAAGCTTATGAGAGAAACATATTAGTTGAAAGTAAAAGCTCAACTTCTCCACTAAGGAATGTTATCTATACTATTATTTGAGAAGTAAATTTGCTTAGTTGTCAACTTCTCCATAAATTTAGGTAATTTTATTTATTTATCATATTTATATATATTTTATTTATAAATAAAACGAATTTCTATGAATATATCATATTTTTAGTAAATCATATAATTCTTGTGAATTATGTTGTTATCTTGAAATATATTTTTATATATAAAACTTAAATTTTAAATTAAGATACAAGAACTATTATATTTATCTAAAATCTATACTATTATTTAAGAAATAGTTTGGCTTAGTTGTCATGTTCTCCATAAGTTTAGGTAATTTTGTTTATTTATGATATTTTTAATATTTATATATTTTAACTTATAAATAAAACGAATTTATATGAATATATCATATTTTTAGTAAATCAGATAATTCTTGTGAATTATGCTGTTATCTTGAAATATATTTTTATATATAAAACTTAAATTTAAATTAAGATATAAGCACTATTATATTTATCTAAAACGAATTTATATTAATAGTTTAATATTTAAATATAAATAAAACCAATTTATATTAATAATTTAATATTTTTCTAAAATAAGATAATCATTATGGATTATGTTGTTATGTTGAAAATATATTTTCCTATTATAAAACTTAAAATTAAGATATAAAAATTATATTATTATTAATTAAATATAAATCATAATTAAATATAAATCATCAAAACAATTATTTGAAAAGTGAATTTGTTGATTTGTCTCCATGATGCTAGGTAATTTTGATCATTTATCAAAATTTCTATAATTTTCTTTATTATTGATTATATAATTAAAATTATTTATATTAATAATATGATATTTTATAAAATAAGTTAATTCTTATGTATTATGTTGTTATTTTGAAAAAATATTTTTCTATTATAAAATTTAAAATTTATATGTAAAAAATCTATTATATTATTTAAGAATGAATTTGATGTTTGCTTATTTGTCATACTTTCTATGGTTTTGTGTAATTTTGATAATTTATCAATTTATATAATTTATTATATATTTAAAAAAAATTATATTAATAGCATCGGATTCTTAGAACTAAGTTACTTCTTATGTATTAAATTGTTGTCTTGAAAATATATTTTTATATTATACAATTTAAAATTAAAATAGAAAAATAATTTATTATTAATTAAATATAAATCATCCATCAAGAAAAATTATTTAAGAAGTGAATTTTCTGATTCATTAAGTTCTCAATGATTTTAGGTAATTTTAATTATATGTCATAATTTCTATTATCTTATATAATTATTATATAGTTAAAAACATTATCATATTATATTTTCAGAAAATAAATAACTTATGCATTATATTGTTATCTTGAAAATATGTTTTTCTAATATAAAATTTAAAATTAAGATATAAATAGTATAGTTCAATATAAATCAAGAAAAATAGTTATAGAAAAATATTCTTTTAAATATTTCTGATGTTTGAGTTTTATCATTGATAATTATTTGATGTTTGATTTTACTTTTTGAAAACATATATAATAACTTATTATGTTGATTTTTAAATTAATGAAACATCAACTAATAAATATTCATAAGAGAATTATGCCCGCAAGTGCGGGCAAAACACCTAGTTCTAAAATACATAAGCTTATTGTTTTAATCAGTACAATTCTTGGAACTTAAACATATTGCTTTTGCTTTCTCTATCTAAGAAACCCGTGGTTGTATAACAATTTTAGAATGAAAAAGGCCTTTTAAAAGGCTGAAACATCTTAATGTATTTTTCATGGTTAGGCAAAGATTTTAAAGCAGGGAAATAAAGGAGAAATTTCAAGCGGAAAGTTGGGAAAAGCTGAAAACTTAACAAGAACACTGACAATGGCTTGTAAATTATATACATTTGATTAAAGTTAATACCAATTTCTATCTATTAAATCTAATTGACTAAGATGAGCCAGATTAATAAGATCAGAAGAACATTCAGGTAAAAATAAAGCTAAAATATCCACATATTCAAAAGCCAACTGTATATAAATCAAAATGTATTTTGTGAACCAAACTATATTTGATAATTCTAGATGAAACCAATTAAAAATATATTTTAAATTAAAATTAATATAACTGTTAAATTTATATCATTGGATCACGAGATCCATATACTATTTTGGATGGATTGCCCACTTCCTTTCACACTTCTGATGTGCAATACTCCCACTACATTCTTGGACTGTTTCTGCCGCTGAATACCCTCACAATGGACCATTCTTTATAGTTAGAAATTTAAGTTAGATAAAAAACTGAGAAGTATACTGACAAAACCATATATTAAAAATATAATACTTAACCCATCATGTTCCTGGTAAAGATCCAACAGCTTTTACTAATTCTCACTCACTTAGATCTGATCGAGCCACTTAAAAGAGGTTAACCATCTTTCATGTGGTGAGATCTCTGACCTAATTGAATCGTGGTTAGATCTAGATCTTGTTACATTTGTCTTCATCTATTACCAGCATTGAAGCTTTTCTTATTTATTATTATCATTGTTAGTCTCATCATCACATTTACATATTTTATAACATATATTTCATCTCTTGTACCAGTAAAGAGTATCCATATACTACTTATTGACAGAATATGTCTTAACGTAAAATTTCATAGTGAATCAATGTTTGAAATGTTTTTGTATTATGTGAGGGAGAAAGAGAGTGAGTAGCTGTGTAAATGAGTTAATAGTGAGTAAGTACATGATTTATATAACAAATTATCAATACGAATGAGTCACCTTTAGTTAGTCATCTTTCACTATAGATGGCATTGTGGACGCATGCATCGTGTATCAATCAGTTCTATAGGGTTGGATACATTCAGCTGCATTGAATGCAATCTCTAGGAATCAACTATACATGTCTTATTCTGACATGCTTTACTACACATTTAATGACCATGTTAAAACATTTTAAACGATATATAAGTTCTTTTGTCGGTATATCTCTCTCGTATATTTCCCTGCCCTCTCTGCATGTTCGAGTCCTTAATTTGGAGGTGTAGTGTTTGTATATATTTGTCACTATCGTCGTATCATTCCTTGGTGTCTGTCTATGTAAAAATTGTTAATACATTTTCATACTTATTACACTAATCCAACCCTACGGTTGAAAATGATATGATTCGGGCTGACCCGATTGGATCCGAAAACAAACCCGATATATGGTGACATGGTACCTAGCACAAATAAATGTAATCACATCAATCACAATGAGGCTGGCTGTTATATATATTTATAGTTCTTAATTAATGTAGAGAATTTGGGAATAATGTTTTGGATGTAAGGGTCATGTCACCCAACAAACAGGGACCATCAATAACGATAATCATAAGATTTGTGAAAGAAATGTTTCACTCATTTGGCAGAAGTACAGTTGGTGTGCCTTGTCTTTTCTCATTTTGTTCTCTTTACTTCCTTCTTGTTTGTTCGTTTTTGTTCTTTTATTCTTTTCCCCCTTTTTATTTTCTGTCAAGGACCATTTATATATTTCTTTCATTATATATTTAGTTTTAAAGTTGTGTACATATGCTAACAACTAATTATAACTAGGGGTTGCATCATGAGTTAAACCGTCCATAAACGATAGAAAAGAGGATGTTTCAGGCTTTCAGCCATGATTGTTTTTGGATAAAGTTTTATTATCAACAGGTTTATTATATGTTCCCATACAAGACTATGTTATATTTCTTATTATGTAGTAAGTCTCTCATATGCATCATCAACATTCTTTTAAATATGAAAATAGTATATAGTATGTAACCAAATCAAATTGGCATTTAGTCGAGTTGAAAGTCCAGCTCTCCCACTTTATCTTTTTATATATGAATATACAAACGACTTTTAGTATTATGCATAGTTAATATATACATGCACATGACCTTTCTATGTCATGTGCCTTAAGTTGCAGTGTTCACTCTTATATATAAATAAGTCGCTTGATCCATTACTCTAAATTTTGAAATTATTTCCTATTTTAAAAATCAAACTTTAATGTATTTGCTGAGTTTGTTTCAATTTTATAGGTCAAAATTATTTTAGATTGCAATTTTGAAAAAGAAAACAATCAATAAATATAAGATGCATACGGCATCCGAGTAAGACGGATATATTGGAATGGGTCGACCCACTTAAAAGATAAATAAAAGACCGACAACGAGAGCAAGAGCCAGGGTTGTTAATTAATTGTTAATCTCTCTTTCTTTAATCAAACTTTCACAAAAATTCCTAGCTTGCATGTGCAATTTTCACTCTTCAAGATTCCATGTTTACGTCAACTTTCCTTAGTTTATATATCAGAGACAACGTAGATAATCTATATACTACATCTTTTACGTTAAAAACATTATCATAGTTTCAATGTAACCACTATTGAGTATTGACCCACTTCTCATCTCTATCAGAATAAAAACATAACCCGCATCACATGGACCACATTATACTTAGTAAATTTTCTAATTCAAAACAATATGATTTGTTGTTACCAGTCACACACCACAATGTCGTCATTTGGGTCAAGGGATATGAATTATGAATATATACATCAGTTCTAAATATAAGAACTAACACTTAAATGGAACAACGATCGTATATTTTAATGGTTAAAATGTTCGGTGCGTTTAATGTGTTTACTATACGCTGAACACTTTATCACATAAAAATGCATAAAAGTTCATCTTGCCGCTTCTAAGATCCACGAGTTCTTAATACTCTTTGCGGTGAATCGTTTGAAAATAGTATGTAATATGATTAACATGGTAATTTTATTCTAAGATAAACTGTATCGTTCGGTCTAATTCTTACAAGAAATTACCTGTTTGAATGTGATAATTATATCAGTTTAATTAGCCTACTACTAATATTTTGAAGACCGTACTGCTTTATCTATTTTTTCTTTTAACTCGCATCATTGAACAATATGTAAATTAAAATTTTCTTGTTTTTCTGTCTTTCCTAACAAGATTTATATATTGCAACCATATTACATCCATGTATATGACTTTACATCATTAATTCTCAAAAGTTAATTCATCTCATCTCACCATAGACACAAAATGATTAGTTAGATTTTCTTATTGTCGTCAATATATACATTTCATTTAATGTGTTACAAAGTAATTAATAAGAACGTCCATGATCATATTATAACATTATTTTATGAGAAAAGTTAGACTTTTCTTTATCAAAGTGGAGAACACTTCTCTTCACATGTTAAGACCATCACATGATGCTCTCTAATTAATGGATTTGAGTAAAAGTTCTACACATTGGAGAGATAAGAACATGTTTTGATGCTCTATAATATATCTTTTTGAGTTTTTCTTTTTCAGTCTACAAATAGAAAATTGCATTGCTTAAATAAATGATACTACGTTATGTGTTTGAGTAATTTGATTACCATTTGTGATTTATACTATTCATAGAAGAGATTTGAACTTCAAAATTTGTGAAGACTTTGAGTCGAAAATATTATAAAAATATTTTTTGAGTTTTTTGTAACATCAAATTTTTTTAATATAAACGAGAGTTTTATCTTTTTGAACTTTTTTATGCCTCTGTATGTGCTCTTTTTTTTTCCAGATTTATTAAAAAAAAAGAGGAAAACTAAAGATTAAAGCCGACAAAAAGATTAAAATAATAGGTGAGGTAGAGGCAGAAGTACTTTTTTGGGATCCAAATCATCTTTTGCTGCTGCTTCTCTGCTCTGTGTTTTATTTATATTTCCCACTAACAAAGAAACCCCCAAATCCATGGGGTTCTTCGCTTTACAATCCCAACGCACTTCTCTCCTTCTTCTTCCTCATCTTCTCCGATGCCACCAAATACGTATAGACTCCTCTTCTTCCCATTCCTACTCTGTTTCTTCTTCATCCCCTGTTTCTCCCTAGACGAACAGGGCCAAACTCTAATCACATGGAAGTCCCAACTAAACATCTCCGGCGACACTCTCTCCTCCTGGACCGTCGCCGACGCATCTCCCTGCAACTGGGTCGGCGTAAAATGTAACCAGAAAGGAGAAGTCTCCGAGATAGAACTCAAAGGCTTCGACTTGCAAATTCCCCCGCCGTTGACAACTCTCCGGAGCCTCAAGTCCCTTACTTCCCTCACTTTATCTTCACTAAACCTCACCGGAGCAATCCCAAAGGAGATCGGAGACTTCCCGGAGCTCAAAGTACTCGACTTTTCGGATAATTCCCTCTCCGGCGAAATCCCTGTGGAAATCTTCAGTCTCAAGAAACTCGAGACTCTGTCTTTGAACACAAACAATCTCGAAGGTGTGATTCCCACAGAGATTGGGAACCTTACGGGTCTAGTAGAGCTTATGCTTTTTGATAACAAGTTGTCCGGAGAGATTCCGAGGAGTATCGGAGATCTCAAGAATCTCGAAACCTTCCGTGCCGGTGGGAACAAGAATATCAAAGGTGAGGTTCCTTGGGAGATAGGTAACTGCGAGAATCTAAAAATGCTTGGTCTCGCGGAGACTAGTCTCTCCGGGAAGCTTCCGGCGTCGATTGGAAACTTGAAACGCGTTGAGACAATAGCTATCTACACGTCAATGTTGTCTGGTCCGATTCCAGATGAGATTGGAGACTGTACTGAGCTTCAAAATCTATACTTGTACCAGAACTCAATCTCTGGTTCCATCCCTAGCACTATCGGAAGTCTAAAGAAGCTGCAGAGCTTACTCTTATGGGATAACAACCTCGTCGGAAGAATCCCAACAGAGCTTGGGAGCTGTCCTGACCTCTGGCTTATCGATTTATCCGAAAATCTTCTCACGGGGAACATCCCGAGGAGCTTCGGGAGCCTCAAGAATCTCCAAGAACTTCAGCTGAGTGTAAACCAAATCTCCGGAACCATCCCTGAGGAGCTAGCGAATTGCACGAAGATTACGCATTTAGAGATCGATAACAATTTAATCACCGGGGAGATACCGTCGCTGATGGGTAATCTCAAGAGCTTGACGATGTTCTTCGCGTGGCAGAACAAGTTAACCGGTAACATCCCGGGGAGTTTATCTGAGTGTGGAGAGCTTCAAGCTATTGATCTCTCTTACAATACTCTCTCTGGTTCGATCCCAAAGGAGATTTTTGAGCTACGAAACCTCACGAAGCTGCTTCTTCTCTCCAACGACTTGTCTGGATTCATCCCCCCGGAGATCGGAAACTGTGCAAATCTCTATAGGTTAAGACTCAACGGAAACAGACTTGCTGGAAACATCCCGGCCGAGATGGGTGATCTTAAAAATCTAAACTTTATTGATTTAAGTGAAAACCATCTCGTCGGAGAAATCCCTCCGGCGATCTCCGGTTGTGAAAGCCTCGAGTTTCTTGATCTTCACTCCAACAGTCTCTCCGGTTCTTTCCTCGGTACACTCCCGAAGAGCTTGAAGTTTATAGACTTCTCCGATAATTCCCTAACCGGTTCTCTCCCTCCGGGTATCGGTTTATTAACGGAGCTCACGAAGCTAAACCTCGCAAACAACAAACTCTCCGGCTCCATCCCTGTCGAAATCTCCACGTGTCTCTCTCTACAGCTTCTCAACCTCGGAGACAACGCATTCACCGGAGAAATCCCAATCGAACTGAGCCAAATCCAATCTCTCGCAATCTCACTAAACCTAAGCTGCAACGCCTTAGTCGGAAACATCCCTTCGAAATTCTCCGATTTGAAAAACCTAGGAGTACTCGACATCTCTCACAACCATCTCACGGGGGAATTAACCGTCTTATCAGATATGCAGAACCTCGTATCACTCAACGTATCATTCAACGACTTCTCTGGAGAATTACCAAACACTCCTTTCTTCAAAAAACTCCCGCTCTCCGACCTCGCCTCGAACAAAGGACTCTACATCTCCAACGGGCTAATAACATCCTCAACGCGGAAGATCTCAGCCGTTAAACTAGGAATCTCAGTCCTCATCGCAATCACAGCCGTTTTGATTCTCCTCGCGGCTTACACTCTCGTCAGGACACGTGCCATCGCGAGAAAGCACCTCCTCGATGAAGAAGAAATCGATTCATGGGACGTGACGCTCTACCAAAAACTCGATTTCGCAATCGACGACATCGTTAACAACCTGACGTCAGGGAACGTGATAGGCACGGGAAGCTCCGGGGTGGTTTACCGTGTGACGATTCCTTCCGGGGAGACTCTCGCGGTGAAGAAGATGTGGGCTAAAGAACAGAGCGACGCGTTTAACTCGGAGATTAACACTCTTGGTTCGATTCGTCATAGGAATATTGTGCGTCTTCTTGGTTGGTGCTCGAATCGGAATCTGAAACTGTTGTTTTACGATTTTCTCCCTAACGGAAGTTTGAGTTCTCGGCTTCACGGGGGCGGGAAAGGAGGTGGAGGTGGAGTTAGTTGGGAGGCGAGATACGACGTCGTTCTTGGTGTGGCTCACGCGCTTGCGTATCTGCATCATGATTGTCTTCCCGCGATTATTCACGGTGACGTTAAAGCTATGAATGTCTTATTGGGCCCACAATTCGAGCCTTATTTAGCCGATTTCGGTTTAGCGAGAACCGATACCGGAATTGATTTATGTAAACCGAGTAATCGGCCTCCTTTGGCTGGTTCTTATGGTTACATGGCTCCGGGTAAGCTTATAAAACTTATACACTCTTCATCTAAATTTGTTTGATTATTGATTTTAATTTTAATTTTTTTTTTGTAGAGCATGGTTCAATGCAACGTATAACCGAGAAGAGTGATGTATATAGTTACGGAGTGGTATTACTAGAGGTTTTAACCGGGAAGCATCCATTAGACCCGGATCTACCAGGAGGTGCACATTTGGTTAAGTGGGTGAGAGATCATTTAGCTGAGAAGAAAGATCCGAGCAAGCTTCTTGACCCGAGACTTAATGGACGGACAGATCCGATTATGCATGAGATGCTTCAAACACTTGCGGTCGCGTTCCTTTGTGTGAGCAACAAGGCAAGTGAAAGGCCTATGATGAAAGATGTTGTGGCAATGCTCACAGAGATTAGGGATACTGATGTTGGACGGTCGGAGATTGATAAGATGAAGAGTAGTGGTTGCGGAAGCAAAGAGCCGCAAATGATATCGCATGAGAAAATTATTATCGCTCACGGTTCGTCTAATTGTTCATTTGCCTTCTCGGATGACTCTGTTTGAAACATACTAACGGTGAATAGTGTGAAATTGTGTGTGTGTGTTTACAAAGTTGTGTGAATATCTTTTTGTTGGAACTTTAAGCATTTTGAAATGTTTTTGTGTAATCAATGTGAGGGGGATCACAACAAAAAGGCGAATAATTGCAATTGTTTGTTTTCTTTCTGTAATCTTAAACTTCAAGTAATGTAATCAGCATAAAACAAGTTAACATGAGGAGACATGCCATACTTTGAGGATATATGTCATTAAAATAAAATGGTCTTGTTCTAATTATCTGTATTTTAGATAAGTATGAAGCAATACATCTCTGTACACAGAACATTTAACATATATTTTGGATCAAATCATCTAGAATATGTGGATAATTATGCCTATTAATATAAATAAATATTGTTATCATCATAACTGAAATGCTGAGTTTTTGGTCCACTATTTTTTAATATCTGAACCATCATTGACAAATATTCAAATAACATGTGAAGATTCCAAAATACTTGAGTGTCATTTTTCCTATATCAATAGTAAATTAGTCAGATTGGAATAGTTTGAGAAAGAAGTTGTCTATCTTTCAAATTAAATTTGTCGTGTCCTTAGAATTCGAATATGAAATGGAACATGTGAGTTCAAGGTGTTCATGTGTATTTAGACGCATAAATATTCTCTAGAGACCACCGGTAATATTATTAGGAAGTTGGTGTCATTCAGTTTTATGTATAGGGGAAATAGTAATGACACGATAAGTTCTACCAAATGTTCTATAATTAACTTGTAATACATAAGTGAAATGAAGTATGTTAAGCATGTATATACAACTCAATGAAATCTGTTATTAGATTTATGCAAGTTATAGAGAAATCTAAAGAAAAGAAGGAAAGAATGACTAATAATTAAGTTTGGTAATATAAGATAATGATTGGGAATGGAGTAGTTGGAGTTATACGTGAGAAAGATTCGTATTTGGTTTGTTATTTTGTTGTTGATTGTTTGTTTGTTAATAAGCCATCTTATTTGTGAAATTGTGAAGAAGAAGAGAGGCTTAAGACAGAAGCGAGTGGATCACGTGGACCCTTACACCATCCTCATCACATGAGCATGTGCTGTATCTCAATACATAACAATGACTTTCCAGCCAATATAACACCATTTTTGTACGATTATTAACATCAATATTATGGTTGTCACTCAGATATTTAGATATATAACCTTTCAAGCAAAATTGTATCTTCAGTTCTCGAATTATTGCTTATAAGTAATTGAAGTCTATCTTAGTTTGTTCAAGTTGTGCAGAAAAGCTTTTCGGGTGGTTATATGTAAGATTCATATCAAAGTTTTGTATAGTATTATCAATGATCATCAACACATAAGTTTTGTAGGTTGAATTGATATTTGTTCCTTTCGGTTTTTATCAGGTTTTATATTTCATAATAAAGATCAGTAATGTTGCAGAAATCCAAACCCATAGCCATCTTAGTTGTATGCTATAAAAAATCTAATATTTGCTTTTATAGAATTTTAATCAAAATATTTTATGGGAGCTCATAAAATAATAAAAATATCAAGTAATTATCTCTCAGTTTGGAAGTGATTGTAAATTTATGAAATAATAAGACAGACTACTCTGTGGGACCCACTGATATGCTATTACCGAACTTTTAAACCAAGCGGTTATGTAATGGCGCGAAAAATAACATTAAAGAAACCATCACAAGAGCCTTTGACAAAGAGGGAGAGAAATAGAGAAGAGACAACAGCTTAATACATTACACAGTTTGGCGAAACGCTAAACCAAATCGAACAGACATTTAAAAAAAACAGTTAAAACGCCAACGAAACATTCATATATAAGTATATACCCAAACCGTATCAAACGCAGACGACCTAGTAACTGTATCCTTTCACAAACAAGCTCTCGGAGGTAGCAGAGTCACCAGAATCCCCGGCAACGTATTTCCCAAGCGTAGCATCAGAGTTAGCCTTGCACCTGACCAAGAACGTGGCCTGAGCTTTGGCTACGTTCTCTTTCTTACCTCCCCAAGCCTTGAGGGTGCTTTGCTGGAGGGCACGGCCAAAGGAGAAAGTGAGCGTCCATGGCTTCAACAAGTCGAGCTTGTTCATTGCGTTGAGATTTAGCGTTGCTTCCTCTTCACTCTGTCCTCCTGAGAGGAACACGATTCCTGGAACCGCTGGTGGGACCGTGCGGCGGAGAGCATTCACTGTGTACTCCGCGATCACTTCCGGTGCAACCTGGTGGAAAAAACAATTATAAGTTTTTTGTAAAACCTCAACAAACCACGCCTAGTTTTCGATACCTTGGCACTGTCTGAGCCTGGAGTGACCATGTTAGGTTTAAGCAGAGTTCCTTCGAGGAGGACGTGGTGGTCGTTCAAGGCCTTGTACACGGCAGAAAGAACAGTTTCAGTCACAGACGCACATTTCTTGATGTCGTGGCTCCCGTCAGTTAACACTTCTGGCTCGACGATTGGGACCAGTCCGTTTTCCTGGCAGATGATGGCATAACGTGCCAGCCCCTTGGCGTTCTCTTGGATGGAGAGCTCGCTTGGCTCGGTGGCACCAATCTTGAGGACTGCACGCCATTTGGCGAAACGAGCTCCTGCCTTGTAATACTCCTGGCAACGTGCACCAAGCGAGTCTAGACCCTGTGTAGTTGTCTCACCATTGGTCCCTGCTAGATCAACCACACCCTTGTCCACTTTGATTCCGGGGATAACTCCGTTCTCCTGATACAGAAAAAGAATCAGATTAATCCGATATAAACCTTAGGTTCCCATTTGAGTCATGTCAACAGCTTTAACTCTGGAACTCTTGAACTCAATGATTAGGCTAGAGCTAGACTTAAGATTTTGGAGAACGGACCTGGAGGAACTCGACAAAGGGCTTGCCATCAGAAGTTTTCTGATAGAGGGTTTCCTCGAAGAGGATAACGCCGGAGAGGCAAGGCAGAGCGCCTGGAGAAGTGAAGAGGAGCTCACGGAGAGCTTGACGGTTGGACTCAATGTTCTCAACATTGATGCTGGCGAAACGTTTCCCAATAGTTCCAGTGCTCTCATCTGCCGCCAAAATTCCCTTTCCCGGTGTTGCAATGTACTTGGCAGTCTTGATCAGCTCATCTGAACTCAGAACACACATAAGACAGAGCCTGTAGAGACTGGAACACAAAGAGAATAATGCATGTTTAGGCGTTACGTACCTGCGTATTTGCCGACAAAAGCAGACATGGTTGCTTTTTGGAGTTGCAAGAGAGACTTTGCTGAAGAGGACGAGGAGGCCAAGACAAAGCCTTAAGTACCCTGCAACTTTTGACTATATAGGGTGTAATATCTACAAGGAATATACTGTTATAATTCTGACATACGTGTCAGAAGGAGAGCCTGAGGAAGATTATCAACCTCGGATAAACAAATGGGTGATCGCTTCTACTACCAAACGGCAACCAACGATCCAAACTTTATCCCCAAGGTCTTGGATATGTGGAGAAGAGAAAAGAGATAGGTACAAAACAAAAGCAGTCTTTTTGTATCCTACCTCTCTCTCACACACTTCCACAACACGTGTGTGCATCATCCAAACGCAAACAAGAGATATTTTGGACACTAAAGCCAAATAAATGTATCATGCTTATGAAGAAGTATCAAGAGTTCAAAAGATATTTATAATGTATATTGTACACAAGATTTGCAGGTAACCAATTCCGAGTCTCAGGTTCGATCAAAACCCCTCACTTGGGAATATAAAGTAAATCAAAACTGTTCCCAAGAACTTGAATGGGAAAACCAACAGAGTTAAAGATGATTCATTGATAGTTTGGATTGCAGTTGTAGCGGATAGGATGGGGTGAATGCATCCATAATCTGCACTGCACACCATGGAAGGGACAAGTAATGCTGCAGAGGACCACACTAGTCGTCGTCTGTGCCAAAATATCGGTCCCCAAACTCGCCCATTCCAGGAATAACACGAAACTCTTCGTTTAACCCATTATCTATCTCAGATGTCACTATCTTTATTCTTGGGAATTTTTTGCAGACCACATGAACACCTTGAGGTGCCTGGTTAAACAAAGAGGAAAAAAATATCTAACTCCAGCTGCATTCTTGTGGATAAACATGGATAAAGGAGTGGATAACGATGATATGGGCAGGGTGTTGTGTTAGCTTACTGAGATAAGGTTTAGAAATACAATGTTTCCCTCGGGTACACCCTTGCTAATAAGAAGATTGATAGCTTCAACTGCTGAGTTTCCTGGAAAAAAAAATGTTCGTTTTAGTGTCATAAGGGACTTCAAATATGTTTTTTCATTGACAAGCTGTGTGCACTAGAGCAAGAAAACAGTGGAATGAAGTGTTTTCAGTGATGACAGTATCAATTACCTGTGCCGAGAATAGGATCCAGCAGTAGGACATGCCTCTCCGAGATATCGTTTGGCAGCTTCTCGTAGATGAGCTGCAGAGTTATTTAGATATCAAGCACCGGTGAAAGAGAACACCCCGGCTAAACTTGGAGTGACTCAATTACCTGTTGACCATTGTCACCTTCTCTGTGGATTAGGATCTTCCCGATCTTGATACCTTTGCAACATGCTCGCAGCGCATTCTCCATGCTCTCACCGCTAGCATTTTTTTCAAAATACCGTCAAGTTGGTGAGGGAAGGATACTGAAGTTCATCTTGAATAGACTTAAGCTAGGATAAACGGGAAGTACCTCCTAATCACAGAGACACCACATAACCGTTTACAGAAATCCACACCAGAATATACACATCCTGAAACAGATGATGGGGATATCATGAATTAGGATCTATTGAAGACTATATCCATAAACAAAATAGTCGACGAGCTATTAGAACTATCATACCGGTTGGAGTAATCACTTGCTTTTCAGTAAAAGGAAGATGTCCAAGACCATGTTCTACGACCTGATAAACGTACGAAAACAATCACACAACGAGAACGAAACACGTGAGAAGGAAAATTGGTCAACCAATTTGAAGATGTTTTGATAATCCTACCAGCCGAATCAAACGATCAGAATAAAAGACAAAATCGTGTTTGGTTGTCTGTGAATCTCGTATAAGGGTGTGCATTCCTCGTATCTGCAAGAGAAAGCAATTATCTTCGTTTAATGGTTAAGAGAATGAATGTTATATTTGTAGTTGCGTGAGAGAGAGAGAGAGAGATATGAGTTACCTGAAATGTTGAGTGTATAACATAGAGATTGGGATATATTTTACAGAGATCATGTTGACCCAGCTTGGTGCATATATGTTGCACAATTAAGTCAATTGCTACATGATTATCCCCACCACGAGGGATTATAATATCTGCATATTTCTTCGTGGGAAGAATGAAGTCATCAAAAGCAGGCTTTACAAACTTTGAGTACTGCATCAAAAGGTTGACATCAATATCAGATATTGGCAGAACAATATGGATTAACCACCGCTGTCAGAGCAACGGGATATTCAGACAAAGTGCCATACAGAAACCATTTATCATTGTTCTTGAGAATGATACATGCAGCAACAAAGCTAACATAACCTAACCTGGTCAAGTACTGTGCCAATATCTCTACCCTTCTCAACAGTATCTCTTCTTATCCTTCTTGCCAGACGAACGTCAGAATCTGGACAGGAAACAAAATTCTGAACTGTCAAGTTCAAAAACTTTAATAGCATTCATTAAAGCCTACGAAGATGTTCCTTCATGTGGAATATTACTAGCAGAGAAATCCAAAGGAAGCTAAAAATGAAAATGGAATGTGGTAGAAACTAGAGTTTGCAGTAAGTATCATGGGAGGAGGCAACAAATGACCTGTACAAACAAAAATCTTCATGTTCATCAGTCTTCGGACACGTGGATCATGGAACAAAAGTATCCCTTCAAGAATTATTACATCCGTCGGGTTTACCTGCAGAATTGTTATTTCTTTCAAAATCAGGGCATCAATACGATAAATAAATATATATATATATATCCGACTACATCTAGGACATTGATATTATTACAGGAAGGGGCAGTAAGAAAATGAACAAGGCATCTCAAGTATCCATCATTATCCTAAGACAACAATATATCAATTAATAGTATGATTATAAACAATGCTGAGAAGGGAGATGGTACCCTTCTGAAAACACTGCTCTTGTAAGTTTTGCAATCGTATTTTGGAATATCTACCGCTTCGCCTTGCCTCAATTTCTCCATACAAGACAGCAAATGGTCTGTATCAAATGCGTCTACATAAACCATTAAAGATCATTGCGATCAAGATCAACAAAAACATACAGAGGATGACAAATAGTAGTACATAAAAAATTTGTTCGTAACTCCCACCAACTAGTAAAATACTGTCAGAGATGAAATTCCTATGAAAACACGAGATATATAAAAGGGAATAGACCAATCACTGGATGTCACTAGAGAATATGGATGTTGTTTATGCCATAACATTCCTAAGAAGATATGAAATACACTATTCTCTTGAGAGACAAGAGCAGATTACAGAAAACATCCCCGTTCCAAAAAGTATTCTCACCCGGATGGTCAAAGTTGTATTCATGAACTCTAGCAAGTTCTTCTTCAGTCAAACTATGATAGAATGAGTCCTGCCAAATTATTATATCATTGGATAATTCAGTGAAGTTTTTTACTTTCTCATGCTGACGAAAGTATCTGAGAATTAGATACATACACTGACACACAAATATCTAAACAACAGTTACAAGGTTGTTAAACTTCAGCCAGTATATAAATTAGAAACACAGATCAGGCCGGTGGTTATCATGAAGCAAACAAAACAAGGTTACCTGATTAATAAGTACAACACGCTGATCATGCAGTTGCTGGATGATCATATCACAGACAGTAGTCTTTCCCGACGCTGCGCCTCCAGCAACACCTAACCATTCAAAAAAAAATCAAGTCACAACATCTCAGATCAAGACAAGACCGGTCTATTCAGCCAAGTCAAAAAAGCTCAACTGACCTATTACAAAAGGCTGTCTTTGGATCTCTCCTGATGCAGAAACGGTTTCCTTAACTGCCTTTTGCTCCAATCCATTCACATGCCCATTCACATGGAAACCAGAAAAATGAACCTTGGAGGAGGCTTGTATCATGTCAACAACGGAGTTAGAACCCATCACGACGAGGAGGAAGATTCTGAACAATGAACACAGGTTAACCATATAAAAATAAAGGTACGTCATTTCTAAAAATATCTTAATCTCTGTCATAATCAGACATATGCAAACAAACACAAGAGAATCTCACACAACCACCCAATCAGGACTAACTTTGATTTTTCTTAAAACTAGATCTTCATGGTGTGTATAACTCTCAATACAATCATAGTGACCTTGAGAGAGTAATTATTACAAACAAAAGAGTGAAACTTTAGCTGAAACCAAGACATAATGATCCGAACTCATTTCTGTTTTCATAGATTAAAAAATACGAAAGCTAAACCCTTTGATGATCACATTCAATCTAGATGCAAGAAAACCAAAGCCTGGACCAGAATCACCATGATTAAACCTTGTAAAGGTTACATCGTGTTATGTAACAGAAACAGATGGTGAAACAAAAGCAAAGGGTATGTCTGAAAATGCAATGGAGTCACAAACATGAGATTTGAAATTACCCAGATTCAGCTACGATCTGAAGGATCTCAGGAAATCTCAGTTAAGATGGAGAGGCAGTTTCTAATACAATAGAATCTCAAAGAAGGGAAAGAACAAAATTTTCAATTTGATTATTTAATTATACAACTACTAAATAAGTTTTAATTTATTTATTTATAAAGAGAGGAAACAAGCTGGATTCGGACATGATTGGTTTTGGTAATATTTTAATAGCCTGAGCGTGGTGAGATGACGAACGCGATACGAAGAACAAGGAAGACGATATGGAATCTTAGATATTTTCCTTTCTTTCCCTCTCTATTTCTTTATTTGTTCGAAAAGAGTCGCGTACTTTATAATCGTTCAGAATCAACCCCATAATTGATTAGGATAATAGGATATATATTTTTGGGTTCAACCGAAGGTACCTTTCCGGTTTAATTTGCCTCTTTTTTTGAGCAACCCGGTTTAATTTGCCAAGACGGGAATTTTCATAGCTTTTCTTACTCATTTAACGATTGTTTGGTTTGGGATTTTGGTGGAACCAAAGCAAGTCCGGTACATTCCGGTTTAATTTGCCAAGACCAGAATTATCATAGCAGCCTTACACAATTGACGATTGTGGTTTGGTTTGGGATTTTAGTGAAACCAAAGCAAGTCCGGTACATTCCCGATTTAGTTAGTAACCGGAGTTTTCGTAGCTTTCTTACTTAATTGGCGATTTTGGTGAAACCGAAGCAAGTCCGGTACTCTTCCGGTTTAGATAAAACCGGAATTTTCATAGCAGTTCTTAATTGGCGATTGTGGTTTGATTCGGTATATGCACATTCATCCATCTCCGTCTCTCTCTCTCTCTCTCTCGAAGCTTCAAGTCGACTTTCTATGGCATCATCAATGTCCTCTTCTTGCTGCGTTTCATCTCTTCGTCTAATCCCATTCAAACGAACCTTCTTCTCTTCCATTCACCCTCCTCCCAAAACCCTAATCTTCCGACCAATTCCCTCAATTCTCCGAACGATCATCACTTTCCAGAAAATCCCAACCGGAATCGTCTCTTCATCATCATCTCCGTCGAACTCAATCAACCTCCAACCAATCGAAGAGCTTCCTCCAAACCTACAAGACATCGTGAAGCTATTCCAATCGGTACAAGAGCCCAAGGCCAAGTACGAGCAGCTCCTCTTCTACGGGAAGAATCTAAAACCCTTAGAATCCAAATTCAAGACGAGGGAGAATAAAGTAGAAGGATGCGTTTCTCAGGTCTGGGTTAGGGCTTTCTTCGACGAGGAGCGTAACGTCGTCTACGAAGCTGATTCTGATTCGGTTCTCACTAAAGGCTTAGCTGCTTTATTAGTTAAGGGTTTATCCGGGAGACCTGTGAGGGAGATTCTGAGGGTGACGCCTGATTTCGCGGTTCTGCTTGGTTTGCAGCAGAGTCTGACTCCTTCGAGGAACAATGGGTTTTTGAATATGCTTAAGTTGATGCAGAAGAAGGCTCTGAATCTTGAAGTGAAAGCAGAGGAGGAGGGTAATACTAGTTCAGAATCAAGAATTGAGGAAGCAAGTGTTGTTGTTGAGGTGGGAGATTCGGAGTCAAAGCCTAGTGTAGTAGTTGAGGTTGAAGAGTCTGATAGTGTGTCAAAGGTTGTTGATTTAGGGAGTAGAGGGATGAGGATAAGGGAGAAGTTGGAGAAGGAGTTGAGTCCTGTTGAGTTAGAAGTTGAGGATGTTTCTTACCAGCATGCAGGGCATGCGGGTGTTAGAGGTAGTAGTGATGGTGATGATGGGGAGACGCATTTTAATTTGCGTGTTGTTTCGGAGGCTTTTCAAGGTAAGAGTTTGGTCAAGAGGCATAGGATGGTGTATGACTTGTTGCAAGAGGAGTTGCAGGGTGGGTTACATGCTTTATCTATTGTGGCTAAGACTCCTGCTGAGGTTTGAGAGTGTTGCAGTGGAAGGAGAGACTGTTTCAGATTTGTGTTCTTCTTTTACTCCATTTGCTTTGGGTTTTGTTCTTTGGGACTTTTAATAATGTTTGACGCTTTGAGAGCTTGATCAGGATCGTGTTATATATAGTTTCTAAATGAGGGGTATTGCTTGTACCTAAAGGAATTGATCATATATATAATGTTTTCACTTCATGTTTCCCCATTTTCAAACTGAAATCCCTTTTACTTGTTAGTGTCGAGGTCTTGTTTATGTTTTTATGGTTGATGCTAAGTTTTCATGTCTACACTTTGAGAGAGCTCCAGAGATGAATAGGATCAGAGAATATTCAAGTTTGGTCTGCATATGGCCAAGTTTGAATTCCTAGGATCACAGCATCTTACGAAAGTAAAAGGTAAAGTTTTCTTGCTCATTTATCTTTCGTCTAGATAGTCAAAGTTGGTACTGTTTTAATCAAACGGTGCAAGTTGGTTTGAGGGATGGCAGAGAGACAAAGCGATTTGGTTGCTTTATTTCTTACTTTCTGATAAAAGAATAAAAAATGTGAAAGGAGTTTCAGTTGATCCTTGTTTCAGTCTACCGTTTGACATGTGTGGTATCTTTCTTAAAGCCTCCAATAGGTAACACTTGTGTGGTCTTATATACAATCAACTTTACATGCCTGTCTACTGAAACCAGTTGCGGTTTTAGACATTTCGCTATGTGAGACCATTGTATCTAATATTTGAAGCTTTCTCCCCAAAGTATTAATGTTTAAATGAGATTTTGAATTTTAAAATCCTTTATGTTGTCATATGCTAGAAAATGGGTAAGCTTCCTTTTCCTTTGTTTGTGTGTTTTGATTACTTTTGAACCCTGAAGGCTACCACCAACATAAGAATCTTATGTTTGATACTTTTTTTGCTTTTGAGTCTTAAATATTTTCTCTGGTGGTTCAGGTGTGTTCAACTCAACAGTACAATTTTTTTAAACCCTGTTCTTGGAACTGTGTCAAATGGAGATCAATTATGAATCTGTTTCCTAGAAACATAATATCTTTTTTTTTTATCTTGGAAATTATACTACAAACTCTATGTTCTTGGATAGAGTTCACTAGGTCTTGTTCTTTTATACATTTTGTGGGTAAGCAAAAAATAGATCTATACTTACATAACATGCCAAAGCTACTAGAGACTTTGAATTTGACTGGGACAACCTTTTTCATCGTCTCTTTGTCGTGCAGTTATGAGAAATTAGGATTCCGATTGGTGGACCGGTCATCTGAAGATGGCAGCTTACGTGTAGCCAATAAGGGTAATGAATCAACCCAAAATGAGCTCTCACTTTAAAGGTACCCCTAATCTGATATTCTATCTTGTTGTTCTGCACCTCTCTACTAAGCTCCAGCGCATGGTTCACAGGCAAGACCAAGCTTGAGATCAAACGGATTGGTTCCAACCTTGTCTCCCGTTTCCTCTGCGAAAATGGCTGGACCCCTTGCATCGCAATCTTTTTATCGAAGAAGAAGAGCTCTATCGTAAGCTTTTCATACCTCACTTCCATCTTCTTATTAGGGTTAGTGAAGTTCATCACCATCGATAATTCGCCGTTGAAATACACCGGCGAGACGAAGTAGATTGTGTGTAGACTTGCGTTGGGGATGTCAAATTCAGGGGTTCTTGGTTTAACCGCAAGAAACACAATCAAAGTAGCTATCCCGAAGAAGATAAGCACAAGGCTGAACACAAAACATAAACCAGCTACACACCATATCAACGGATTGGTCCTGCTGCTCCGTGGCGGCCGGAGAGTCACCCTATCTTCTTCCCTCGGCTCTGTATCAAGACCGTTGAGTTTAACCCCCGGTGGGTTTGGTAAAACAGTTTGGTTAAGTGGTGTGGACTGTGTGGTATGTGGTGTTCTCCACGGCGTGGTTCTTGGAGTGTACCATACAGAAGACGGTGTGTCCCATGGCGGCGTTTCAGGTGGTTGAGACGGCGGTGGAGGAGGGAGATTTGTCATGAATTATATGATCAATGAAAGGAAATTTTGGAAATGTGTAATGGTTTTGGGTTAAATAAGAAAAGCACTAAAGTTTTGTTGTGTGTATAAAGTGAAAGCTGAGAGTTTAGGCAAAAGAAAAGAGCTTTTGCATAATGGGGTTTGGTTTTGTAGTAAGTGGGACCATGCGTGTCGTTTCGAAAAACTGGTAAAGCAGATCTCGGTGGCTTTAAAGTTTGAGAACGACATGCGTTTTTATAGAAAAATAAGACTTTGTAATTCTTAACAAGTGGCTTTTCCTAATTAAATCCAAGAAGATGAAAGAGTTTTGATTGATTACAGGGGACATATACTTGTTAATTGAACAAGATCTAAAAGTAGGTTTCTTAGAAAAATATGCAATGACCACATTACCATGCCCATATAATTTTTTTTTTGATTGAGGTAATTTTATATTCTTTCTGTTCTTAATTGATCCATGTTCTAGAAAAAATATTTTTGATTGAAGTTAAAATAGTTGGTTAAATGCTATGATAAAAATTGTTAGATGCATGCATGTATTATAAGTTCAGTGAAAACATTTTAAAAAAAAATCGTGAGAAAAAAATCCATCATGACGTGTTTCCATTGATAATCATATGAGAGTATGGACTAAGAAAACAAAAAGGATCCAAAAGCCGATCCGTTTCGCAAGATATAATACTTGACGTTTTTATTTTTCTTTTTGTTTCTCAAACATACAATAATTATAATGTATATATAGAGTTGTAGTAAAAATGAGTTATAGTTTGATTAATTACAAATTTTCATCAATGGTTTGAAGATATTTATATTCAAAACGAATACTCCAATACTTATTTGGAAGTGGGATATTCATAACTCTAAAGTGCTTTCTTTGCTTCAATACTTCAATAGCCTTGTTAAATAAGAATCATATATATAAAAAAAACATGAAACAAAGATCTCTTCTCAAATCGGTATAGCCGTATATGAAAGTACGGATACTAGGTTACGTATAAATTAACGTCATGTTTTGTTGATTGGGGATAACTTGTTTTATAATTAGGATCCTAGTTACAAGGAGAAATAAATGTGAAACGCTATCTTATCAATACAAAGGAAGGGTTTATGAAAGGTTAAGTAACTTTGAAAATACAAATCCGCACAGAAGCCTAAAAGCCACATTTAGAATAGAAACAACGAACTGAAAATTAAATGACATTGAAGCAACCTTTGTATTGTGACACTATGAGTGTATATATGCATGGTTTATGAAATTTTAGTCTTCAGATGAAATGGAGGATTCAGAAAAAAGGATAAGACACTACAGTAGCAAACACAAAATCCTTCTCGTCGGAGAAGGAGACTTCTCATTCTCACTATGTCTAGCTTCAGCTTTTGGCTCGGCCACTAACATCACAGCGACCTCACTCGATTCAGAAGGTACTTATCAAAACGTTATATATGAAACATTTATTATAAGATATATTAATTGTTAATCATCAAAGTTACACATGTAGATGAATTGAGCAAAAAATATATGGATGCGATGCATAATGTAAGCATGTTGACGAGATTCGGGTGCGATGTCCAGCATGAGATTAACGTGCACACAATGAGCTTCGACAACTCCCTGAGCCTGCGACGCTATGACCGCATTGTGTTCAACTTCCCTCACGCAGGATCTCGTTTCTTCGGCCGTGAATTTTCCTCTAAAGCCATCGAGTAACATAAACTATATACATTCTCTTCATTATTACTATTACAATATAGTTTTGACGTTATTGATTTGGATGGATGGTACGTTTTGGGTCAGGGGTCATCGAGTGCTAGTGCAGGGGTTCCTTGAGAACGCTAAGGAGATGTTAGAGGAGAACGGGGAGATTCATATCACACACAAAACAACGTATCCGTTTAGCGATTGGGAGATAAAGAGGCTGGCTAAAGCAGAAGGTTTGAAGCTGGTTAAGGAGTCCAAGTTCGAGCTGAGTCATTATCCTGGTTATACTAACAAGAGAGGGAGTGGTGGACGTAGAAGTGATGATTACTTTCCCGTTGGAGAATGTTCTACTCTCATGTTTATTCAAAAGAAATAACTTTGATTCAACAAAGCTCTAACTACAAAAGATGCTAAAATCTCTTTTATGCAGAAAGATCTAACTACAAAAGATGCTAAAATCACAAACAATGAAATATATTTTACATAACAACTTGAAGAAATAAATAAAAGTCAGCTGAAGAAAACATCTTAATTAGAAAACTGAATAAAACCTAATAAAATGTTTAGTTTATTGGTGGAGTTTCAAACTTTAGTTTATTGGTTGGTCCAAAGATTTTCTTTTAGTTAATACTTTTTATCATGGGTTGAGATCCAAATTATATAATTAAAATGTCTTAGGTAGTTGTCAAAAAAAAAAGTCCTAGGTAATGCCTCTATTTTGTTAGAAATTTATAAACTAATAAACGAAAAACACGAAAAAGTAATACGTCAATTAAATATCATAAAGAAAACGTAATTCCAAACTGACTTGGGTACACGTTGAAAGAATGGAACATATAACTGTTTTGTTTTGTCATCGATTCGACATGGACACACGACACACACTTTAGATGTAATATATTATCGTAACACCATTCAGAGTCTCGAGATACCAATCCAAAATCTCCCTTTTAGTCTCAACATGGCTTGCCAAAAGGCTTATTTTGAGAATCAAATTTTCGACTTGTATAACAAAATCTCCAATCTCGAGAGCCTTAAACCTTCCAAAAATGTCGACACTTTGTTCCAGCAGCTCTTGTCCGCGTGCTTACCCACGGAGACAAACATCGACGTTGAAAAGTTGTGCCCAAAAATCCAAAACATCAGAACCAATCTCATCAAGCTACGTAGTGAAGCTATAGGGTATTCAGAGCAACACTTCTCTACAATCTTGGGATCTCTTGAAGATAACCCACTTCACCATTTAGATCTCTATCCGTACTACACTAACTACCTCAAACTAAGCAAGGTCGAGTTCGATCTCCTCACGCTACACTCAAGCCATGTCCCAACCAAGATCGCGTTCGTGGGCTCTGGTTCTTTGCCCTTCACATCAATCATCTTAGCAAAGTTCCACCTCCCAAACACAACGTTCCATAACTTTGACATCGACCCTCAAGCCAATTCCCTCGCCTCCCAACTTGTCTCACGCGATACCGATCTTTCAAGTCGCATAATCTTCCACACGATGGATATACTCAACGCCACAGAGATTCTACATGACTACGAGGTTGTTTTCTTGGCGTCTCTTGTTGGTGTTGATAAAGAAGAAAAAGTCAAAGTCATTGAACACTTGGAGAAACACATGGCTCCTGGTGCTCTTCTCATGCTTAGGAGTGCTAAAGGCCTTAGAGCTTTTCTATATATAGACGTTGATCCTTGTGATCTAAGAGGTTTCGAGGTCTTGGAGACTTATCACCCGTCGTTGTCAGAAGGGTTTGTGAACTCGGTGATGGTCGCACGCAAACTCAGTGATTGATTTTTTTTTTATGAGTGGTGTATACTGGAACTTGATGATCGGTGCTAAACTTTTTATTTATTAAAAGTGATTGTTAATAAATTATACGTAACTGCGTATCTTTTTCTAAACACCATTAGTGTGAATGTTTGTTAGAATGGTTTGTATCTTAATTTTTTTGATGTGTTTGAAATATGTTGCGAGGATACGTTGTGATATTTCTACAATCTATGCATACTTTTTTTTTTTTTGAGCAAACAATCTATGCATACTTAATTTGTGATATTTTGCAAATCCCCCATGAATTTGTGTGTATCATATTTAAATTAGTTAATCAAAGTATAGGTATGGCAACAACCTGAAACGGAATCATCTTGCTGGCTCGACCCAACAACAGAAAGTTGGTGCATGATTATGAATATTCCGATGACTCCAAAATTTGTCTGTATACACTTTAGATAAGAAACTAAAGGCATTCCACGTTTTGCGGTGCCATATTTCGACGAACATAATTATATGGTAAGGTTCTAATTATTTCAAAAAACAATGTACTATTAATTCGTTACGATTACGAGTATATAGAATCAATTCAACTAACATAATATAATTTATACTACTATAAAGGAACAGTTGTGTATATATGTTGTAAATTTAAGAAACTGTACAAACTCATAAATATTTGTTATTAGAAATGATCAAATGAAAATATCCAACTGATAAAATTTAGAATTACCAGTTAAAAACAAAACAAAACGAAAAAACAGCTCTAGAAAATTTCATATATATCAGGTAGATTTTCTTTTTTTCATACATATATGCAGACATAGCTTAAGAAACGTTATTTGTAATTCTTATCATTTTTTTTATGAATTGCTATGCTATAATTAACAATTTCTCAAAGTGTAAGTCACTGTAATTTTATGAAACCACATACATTTCTACACCATTCGTAACTCATTTCACTCGAGTGTTGGGTGAGACAATAATAGAGTTAGCTGTTAGGTTAAAAGAATTAGGTCAAGATTGTAGAAGTATATTGTTTAACAAGGCAGATGCTGATCTACCTCATGCGACTCACTCTTCCTAGTTCAGAAAATTGTGAAATTTTCTAACCATCTATCTTTCTCTCCTTGGCTGTCTTTGTCAATTTCTTGACTAAATCTTCTTTCTAGTTGATTATATAATGTCCCTTTGTCTTCTCTTCTACTTGGCTATTTCCATATATGTTTTAGTAAATTATGTTAAAACATAATTAAACAATGTCCATAGTCCATACAATAGAGAAAGAGAAAGAACATAGTACCTCCCCGTATAAATCCGTAACTGTTCTATAAACAATTTGGTGCCAATAAAATTACAGACCACAAAACAAAAGAAATAGAATAATCAAGAATTCAGAGTAACTAGCAAAACATCAACACAACGAAGCATATACTATATCAAAGTAGCATTATAAAGGCCTTATGTAAACCATAGGGGTCGAAGATAATGAATATTCTTACGAACATTCTGATAATAATTTTTTAAAAAGATGATAATGATAATTCTATATCGGTCCTATGTATTCCTTTGCTCGAGACAAGTTCGAAGAATCATATTCTTTCGAACCACACCCATCTTTGGTTGCTTAAAACGCAGCGTTCCAGTAACAAATCGAAAAATAGAAGCGGGGCCCAAATCAAGTAGGTTGGTAGCCTCACAAATGATTAAAGGGAGGGATCCAGCTGGATCCAGACCTTCTGAGTCAGTAAGAAGCTTCTTGTAATAAAGAGGGACAAGGGCGGTAATAAAAAGAAGAAAGAATCAAAAAAAAAAAAAACTAGTGTCGTTGCGTTAAGGGTAAAAAAGAAGCTTTTAAATGATTTCTCGATAGAAGAAGTCACACACACACACAGCTCTTCTTAGATAGGCCCAAAACCACCGACGTGTGCGTGCAGTAGAAAGAAAGTAGATTTGAGGGCTTTGTGTGTGTTCCAGATTCACTCACTCTCTCTTCTGATCTCCGCCGCCTCAAAACCTCATCCTTCTCCGTTTATTCTCTAGATAAGTTGGTGAAGTAGTAGCTGAGGCAGGAGGAAGGTGATGATGATGATGACTTCACTCGGTGGTGGTGGTGGTGGAGGAGGAGGAGGTGATGTTGGACCTATTGGTGGTGGAGGTGGAGGAGGAGGAGGAGGAGGGAGATTTATGCCGTATCCGCCGCCTCTTTCTATGCCTCCGTCGGCTCCTCAGTCACCTAACTTCTCTGGTGGTCTCCGATCACAACCTTCTTTCCTCGTTGAGCAGGAGAAGTAATCTCAAATCTCTTGTCTCTCTGTCTTGTAGTTGACTTGTTTCTTGATCTTGCTTTTTTACACTTCTACTAGTTGGATCCTGAGCTCTTAACTTTTTCATCGCAAAATCTGATCTTTTTTTTTTTTTTTCACAACCGTTTCATTTCTGGTTACTGTTGATTGTATGGAGAGATCTGTGTTTTCATATCTCTGTTGGTTCCATAGATTTTCGATACGCTTGAGTTGAGCTCTTACCTACCATTGCAAATTAAGCTCTTTTTATAGCTCATCTACTTAAATTCTTAGATTTTTCAACTTGATAACAACATTTCTTTGAATCCATAGAATCCATTTTGTCTGTTATCAATTGAGTAATAGTTTGTCAGTGCCATAGGATCTTTAGAGAATCATTGGTTGTGTTCATTTTGTGAGTGTTGACTTGTGTCTTTTTACTCATAGTGAGATTAACCTAGTTCACCCTACATTTGATGCTAATTTTTAGAGTGAGGATTTGCTGAAGAAAAAGATTTGACATTTTTGTGATTGGATCTGCTTGGTCTCTTGTGTGCTCAAGGTCATACACTGATTTGGTTAATCTATGATTTTTCCTTTTTGCAGGTATCTTTCTGAGTTACTTGCAGAGCGTCAGAAACTTACTCCCTTCTTACCTGTGCTTCCACATGTCTGCCGTCTGATGAACCAAGGTGAGAGCTATAGTTGTTATAATAATATCAAATATTAAGGTTTACTTTCTTCTATGATCCTTCTACATTTCTTTTCTTTTAGAGCTACACATGTTGTACATTTGATAAACATATAGCTAGCTGTTAGAAAACAACATATGACAAGGTAAACTTGTACGGTTCCTTAACTAAGATATCGTACTATCCAAAGAGACATTTAGTCTTTCTCCCCTTACAACAGTGAGTGTTTCAGTTGAATTGTGGTCTAATAGAGTTTATAATTTTTTTTTTACTGATGTTGATTTGATTTTCAATCCACTTACTAAAAAAATTTACTTAAAATTAGTTTCTCTAATTTCTTATTACTCTTAAGTAGTTTAGTAAAAATCCCTTCCTCATAGTTAACCCTTGTGACATGTAGCTGATTATACCAAAGTTAGAGTAGTTACCTTGTTTCCTGTGTGTAAATCTATTTAATTGACTATATAGTGTGAAAGTGTTAAAGTTCACTAACTTAGTTGAGAGAGGCTAAGCTTGTCTCTCCATTCCACTATCATTGGTGATGGATTTGTGGACTAGTTTCTAACTGGTGCGTCTTACTCTTCAAAATTGACATTTTTTTGAAACAGAAATTTTGCGTGTAACCACGCTGTTGGAGAATGCCATAAGTCAGAGTAGGTTTGATCACCCTAGCCCTCTGTCTTCTGGAGGGATATTTCAGAACTCAAGAGCTGACATGAACGGATGGCCCTCACAGTTTCCATCAGAAGTATGACTCTACTAACCATTAACATAACTCTTTTCATCTAATTCATACTATTGCAGTTCAGACTTTTGCTGACTTAACTTGCTTTGACTTACTATCTAATCTTAGTTCATCATGACAGGTAGTATGCAGCCTCTGGGCTAACACTGATTATCACTAAACTTAGCTCATTGCACTAACTAGATACTCCATTACTTTCAGGAGCCATATAGATATAACAAACTCTGATATATAAGATTTTTTTTTTGTGAATACTATGAATTAGGATAGGCAATTACAGGTTGCTATGCATCGATGCAATACATTTGCCCCTTTTCCGTGGAAGAAATGTTTGATAAGATATCTTTAATGCTCTTCTGTTTTTTTTTTTTTTTTTTTATCCTGCAATCACATGTATGTAGCATGTACTTATGCTTTAAGGTTGACATGGCTTCTAACAAGTTGTTTGTTTTGCCATCCATTTGCAGAGATCTGTTTCATCATCTCCTGCACCAAATTGGCTAAACTCTCCAGGTAGCTCGTCTGGTCTCATCGTAAAAAGAACAATCAGGGTGGATATTCCAGTAGACCAATACCCAAACGTATGAATCTTAGTCCCCTTACTGAGATCCTAAACTATATTTAGCCGATGTATAAACTTTTTAATTCCATATTCTGCAGTATAATTTTGTTGGTCGCCTCTTGGGTCCTAGAGGAAACTCTCTCAAACGAGTTGAAGCTAGTACTGATTGCCGTGTTCTTATAAGGGGGAGAGGCAGCATTAAGGATCCGGTTAAGGTATTTACATTTTTTCTTCTGTTCAGATAAGCATACCTTAAATGTGTATCTGTATCTTCATTTGTGTAACGTTGCTGCAGGAGGAAATGATGAGAGGGAAGCCTGGTTATGAGCACCTGAATGAACAACTCCACATCTTAATCGAGGCAGAGTTACCCATTGAGTTAGTGGATGCACGTCTTATGCAAGCTCGTGAAATCCTAGACGATCTACTTACTCCTGTGGAGGAAACTCATGACTTTTACAAGAAACAACAGCTCAGGGAACTGGCCCTTCTCAACGGTAGTCTTAGAGAAGAAGGATCTCCAATGTCTGGTTCTGTCTCTCCTTACAATAGCCTCGGCATGAAGAGAGCCAAGACAAGGGACTAATGAACTTTAAGTCATTTCATCTTTTCAAAGCTTTGCCTCTATCACACCTTTTCAAGAAGGTATATATGCACCTGTAACAGCTTTTCTTCTTTGAAGAAGAAGGCTTTTGAAGGTTCTGTCTCCATCCCATCCGATACTCCACTCTCCTCTGGCTACTGGTACTGTCTCTTATCCCTGGAATAAAATAAAAAAACTCCCGTCGTGTATGAGTCTGTGTCTCTACTTATTTATCGTGTCTCGGTGAGAGTTTAGAGGACAGAAGAGATCAGTCTCTGTTTGTTTATCTGTCTTTGTATGTTAATGTTGGCTTGCTTTTGCTGTTTTCTTTTATTTGGTTTAGTGTAGACTACTAATAAGCTTATGTTGTTCAAAAGCAAGTTTTTTGGGGAGGTAAAACATAATGGTTTGTGTGTGTTGGTAATGAATTATTCTGTTTGCATTATAACATAAAACATAGTTTGTCACTATTACATATTCTTGCAATTCACAAACATCAAGCCTTGTCATTGTTATCATCATCATCTTCTTCTTCGCTCTCATCTATTCCAACCCACTGCGTAAATGCGAACAAGAACTCTTTAAAGTTCACCATTCCATTCCTGTCCCAGTCCATCTCCTCTGCAAACACGTTGAATCAAAATCAGGCTTAGGGAGAAAGCTTGAGAACATATATATAAAGAAAAGAAGTGTGAGACTAAAACCAAATCTCTTCATTGCAATCCTCCCGGAGGAACGTTCTCCAGATTCATCAATGGCTCTGACCATCTCCTCACGGCTAACGAGTCCATCCTTGTTCTCATCCAGGAACACGAACGTGTCCACTAGCGTCTCAAACGTTGGTTCCAGCTTCGGCATTCCCAGTCTCCATTTCTATTAATTAAGCTTGGAAACAAAGCTCAGAACATGCATGGAAACAGAGAACATTGATAACAGAACGGTTACCTTTTGAAGAGTGGATGAGTCATCCTTAAGAAGATAGACGAGACAGAGAAGAACAATGAATTCAGTAAATGTAATCCCCATGTCCTCGTTGATATCACAAGCCTCGAACAAGTCATTGATCTCGTCTTCCTCGAACGAGATCTCTAGCTTCCTGATACAGTTCTTTAGCTCCGTGTGATCAATAGACCCATTCGAATCTTCATCTGTGTCCAAGAACGTAAAACAACCATCAAAACAATGAGGAAACCAATGTTTTAAAATCTGTGGCATGCACTCACCAAACTCTTGGAAGATAGCTTTGCAGTTTCGAAGACCCTCGTCGATCTTTGGGAACTTGAGAACAATGCTGTTGAATGATTTCATTGTGGTTCCTCTCGATGCCCTGCGTTGCACGGCTTCTATGATCTTTGCCTCTAGCTTTGTCTCTTGACCATCAGATTTCGTCACCGCAGCGCCCATGTCTCTGTTTGATTTGGGTCCTTCTTTGAGATCAGATTATTGATTCAGTTTCTTGTAAGACAAGGCAGTTTAAACTAGATCTAAAAAGAGATTCAATAAACAAAAGGGAACATGTAAAGGGATAAGTTTCACATTCAGACAAAAGATGTCACAAGAATCAGGGAAGAAAGAAGAGAAGAGAAGAGAAGAACCTGTTTCGATCGATTTCTTGATTGTCACGAGATGCAAACACACACAAGGACAGATCTCTTTATGGTTATTTGTTTAGAGCGAGTTTGACGCTGAAGATTCCACGTAATTGCGCATCTTAAGAAACGCTTTGTCAGCTGTTAAATTGTTTTTAACATGATGTGTCTGTTCCTTCGACTCTGACTTTTATTTCTCCATCTTATTATTATTATATGATTTTAGTCTGCAGAAAATACAAATCAAATGATAATTTAACATTAGTTAAAATGTAATACATCCGGTTTAACTGGTCAAACTCGGCTAGACCGATTACTCTTTTCAATTATCAAACGGTATATCTTTTTAAAACCAATCTTTTTTTGAATAATCCGGTGTATCCTTAAGGATCTAGACTAACGGCGAATGTCCGTATCATCCTACGTTATCGGTCAGAGTATGGCTCGATCACCGGACGCTGGAGAAGTAAAACCAATCTTTACCCCATATTCATTACGTCAATATGTAACATAAAAAGTTACAAGCTAGTATAAATGAAGATTTTAACTTAAATGTTCAGTTATTATATAAAGTTAATTAGATATATGGATAACATCTTAAGAATAAAATGTATAAATGATTACATGCAGATCAGATTAAACAAAAAAATCAGATATGCTCCTTTTAATAATTTCATTACCGTAGAGAGGTGCTCCAATTCCTTAACGCACACATCAATGTGGAGGTGTTCTGTCGAGAAGAGGCGTTTGTATATTGAGCGAAGGCCAATATCCTCGAGCGATCCGTCTCTCTGAAAGCTTACCATCCTTCCTTCTCCATACAAAATACTGTAAGCGGCTCTTAGGGTCTCCATGATTTCATCAAGGAAGAAAGCCAAAAGCAGATGTAAGCATGTTTAGAGCTTTTTAAAAAATCTCATGTCAATGTTGTTTACTTGTTTAAGTGACTATAACAATGTTACTTATGGGGGTATCAAACTTATTCATTTTCTAATCAACAAAACTTAGTATCGTTTAGATACTGAAGCAATGTATTTTAAATTTCTTACATAAATAATATTTTTATCAAAATATAAGCAATTTTCATGAAAAAAAAATTGTAAAATATTTAATGATTATCTAGTTGAACATTTAAAATATAATAAGTTCCAAGTACTTTAAAAGATAGAACAAATAAAGATTGTTTTGTCGTTGAATACTAGATAGAACAAATAAAGATTGCTACACAAAAAAGATTCTTTTGTTGTTGAATACTTGTTCATCTAAATTCATTTCAGGAATTTTAACTTTCACTTCCGGTGCATTAACATTTCTAGAGATTTTGAACTAGATGCGTAATCCAGTTCAAATATTGAGATTAATCTAGATGAAGAACCAAATGATTTATTCCTCATCTAACATACTGGTTCAACATTTCGTAGACTCCTTTGATTCACCCTAACCAAACTGATTGGATTACGCATATAAAATGAAAAACTAAAAAAAAAACTAAATGATTCGTTGAATAAAAAGGAATAAAACAAGAGTTCTAAAAAGCTTCACGCAAGATCAACCATTCTCCATTTTAGTTGCAGAATTTTATTCCAACAAAGTGTAAAGTAGCATGTCTTTTAATTCTATAACCCGATGCCAAAACTCTATAGCTGAAATGCTAACAAGAAATGCGAAAAGCCAAAAAAAAAGTAATGAACTCAGCTTGCTACAAAAACAAAAAGGTCAGGTGGGTACAACAACGATATCAGATGACTCCGGCACCAATTGAGACATGAAAACCAAAGCTACGGTTAGCAACAACACTAACTGTATAAGAAAGCATGAAGTGATCTTACATGCTCTCTTCTTGATGCTTCCTGTGGTTTCTATGCACTCGTTTTGCAGGTCTTGAGCTCTGTTTGTTAAATCAGCAGCCTTCATTTGAACTTTGTCCAGCTTGTTCAGCGTCTCATTAGCTTTCTCCTCTGCCAATTCCTCTTGTGTTTCAACCAGCTTCATCTGATGATTCAAGTTATCAATGGATCTTGAATATATCAGATATTCAATCTCAGCTTCAATCCTTTGCCGGAAGATATCTTCAACTACCGTCTCTGAAACGTTTCCTGATTCTCCCCACGAGCGTTTGTTTTGGTCCGTGGTGGATTCAAGCTCACGAATGTGTGATTCTTTCACCTCAAGCATGGACCTTGTCTCTTCAAGCTTGGTCTCTAGCTGTTCTACAGCGTTCACCAGGGTTACAATCTCTGAGCGAGGTGAGCTTACCTCACTGGCTCCTTCATGATGTTGTGGCATCGGTTCCTTCCCAATCTCCCCGTATTGCTGAAGCTCTGCACATGAGACATAAGGACTTAAAAAAGACTTGATAGGCATTCGTGTGATATCATTAGTTGATTCCAACATGAGTATAAAGACTCATTACAAGATCTTTCTCTGGAAAAACATAAGCCAAAGTAAATCTTACCTTTTTCAAGAGCTTCTTGCAGGGTGATGAAACCATCAATGGCCTCTGTTAACGGATCCAGCTCCTCTGAGAAACCATTGTTATTATTTACTGACTCTTCTCCTTCTTCTTCTGCATCATCATTTCTCTTTGAAGTTTCTCCATTCAAATCAGCTTCATCACCAATCCTTTCATTAAAGTTCATCATTAGGCTTCCACTCGGCTTTCTTGAATCAGATTCCAAGCTAGATTGAGAATTCTCCTTCTCAACACTTTCTCCTCTATGCTTCTTACTATTCTCTACCCTCCCTTTCCCTCTCTGACCACCTGAGCTAACAATCACTGGCGTAGAGGACTTACTACTCCGATCATCATCCTTTCCTAAACCACCAACACCAGCTGAAAAACCAAGCCCAGCCACAAACCTAGCATCATCAAAACCATCAACTCCGCCAATACTTTTCAACATATTCACAGACCCAACAGATCCCTGACTCTCTTGCTCAATATCCAATGACTGAAACACCATCTGTTTATTACCATGTGAATGAGCAGCAGCAGCAGCAGAACCTGACAAGCCCCTCTTCAGAACTTTACTATTCTCCATATTACCAGACGTGTCCTTAACAAGGTCTCTCCTGATCCTCCTCCATTTCCTCAAACCACGTCCTTTAGAAACCGGAGAAGAAGAACCAAAATTCAACGCTTTAACAACCTCAGCAGATGCTTCATTATCACCACTTCTAGTCTTAACAAGTTTCACACTGTCGTCAGAGAAGGATCCATGATCCAAACTCTTACCGTTATTATTATCATCATCAAAAGTGTTGATGGAACTTTGTTGGATCAAACCATTATCACCAACAGACTCAAGTGCAGAGCTTTCACTCTCCAAATCCATCAAAAATCGAATCTTTTTTCCAAACCAAAAATTCAATCAAAAGTCAACTCAAACAAAGTTACACAATTCAAGGAAAGTCTGATACTTTCATACAGAGAACCATCCACCGAATCAAGGGTACGTGAGAGAATCAATGATATAATCAAAATCCAACATAAATTAGAGAGGATCCAGCTCAATCGAATACATACACACACAAGCGCGGGAGAATTGAATCGAAAAAATCTGGAAATGAGAGAAGGTAGGGTGATTCGATGAGATTAAAGGAGGATGTGAAACCCTAATCCCTCGACGACGACGATTGGATTCGCAGATCTCTCTGTGGATCCCATACGTGCTTGTTCAATGGTAGGAACTTTCGTCGCCGGAAAAAGTTTTACCTTTTTTATTTTATTTTTTTTCCTTTGCGGTTATTCGTTTTTGTTTTATTTTATTCGATAAAAGAATAACTGACGTGTGGGTTGTTGGTTCTGACACGTGGTGAGATCCTTTGCCCTCTCAGCAACAAGTTAGTCTTTTTTGGCCGTCCGATTCGAAATCCTAATGATATACCGTTTATTATTGTTATTTTAATGTATTGTAACTTGTAAATATTCATGTACTTAATCATGTTGAATCTCAAATACGTACATGCATATAAATATCATGCGCTTGGGTTTATTAGTTGTAAGAAAATGTTGGAGGTTTGTGACTGAATTTACTTATAAAACATGGGTGAATAATAAACATGGGTACAATCATAAACACACATATATAAGAGTCTTTTTAATCTTTTACATCTAAGAGATGGATTAGCACAGAACGAGATGGCTACACACTCATTACACAGACAGTGACTAAAAAGCAATACTAGAATATGTAAAAAGGGGATGGCTACACACTCATTTTTTACTATTTTGGGGGAGAAAAACCCTAGCCGTCAAGAGAGAAAAAAAAAGAGAGATTTTTTAGTTTCAAGCCGATGGCCGGAGGCTTCTATAGCTCCGACATCGGCTTGTTTAATTTTTCTTATTTCTATTTCTTTGATTTGTTTTCTTTATGGTCTTCTAGTTTGTTTGATTGCCAATTTATTTTGAATCTGGCAAAATTTTGGATTGTTCTTCTGTATGGTTTTT